TGAGTCTGACCTCTGGCTGACCCTTTGCATCATTGCTTCTGTCGTTGCAGCATTTAGCCTTGGTTTGGCCTGCTGGTTTGGCTTAGTTTGGCTTGGTTTGGCCAGCTGGTTGATGATTGGTGGGGGTGGGAGTGGGCGTCTCCTTCACAGGAATGAACTCTGAGCTTTTTAGCATCAAAAGTGGTGTTTTAGGTGTTTCCCTCAAACAAAACACACAAAGTACACATTTGTTAATACATTTCAAACTTAGTTCAGTAAACCCCAAAAGAAAACCTTAGCAGTTAATGAAAACTGTTGCTGAAGACAGTCCTATTACTGTAATTTTCTTGTCTCAGAAATGAAAACATCACAATTAACTATTGAAATAATGTATAACTAGTTATATTCAGAATCAAACAGATTTGCATTTCTTTGATGTAAACATTAAACATGCTACAGTGACTTCCCTTACTGTTGAATTTAAACCTTTCAAATGAACCTAAACATGATTATTATTCAAATCTGAAAAATTAAACTGCTTATTTTCAGAGTGTTTTCCACTTATCTGATTGTTCTGAGTCAGCATCAGTCAGAGAGGACTTCTTAGGCGTCTGATTCGTCGTTCCCAACCACAGCACTTGAACTTGTAATTGATCTGTGAAGTTTAAAACACTCTCGTGCCCAATGGTCAAAAGAACCACAATTAAAGCAGCCTTGCTTCTTTTTGCCACTGCTTGGCTCTCTCTTCCCCATCTGGATGCACTCTGCTCCCAGACCTGTCTTCCTGGTTGGAGTGGAGTGAGGCACTGGCTGTGGCTGGGAAGGATCAGATGATCTGCCCCCAAGTGTCTCTCTTTGACTGGCTGTGATGGACTCAGAAACAGAAGAAAACATTAGTGTTGAGTAAGTAAGTAAGTAAGCTTTTATTTATATACCGCCTTTTCACTGCACATCAGAGTCTCAAAGCGGTTTACAATTGTTGGGTGGGGGTGCCAGTACAGGAGGCACATGCCATACCTATTGTACATATTTTTAGTGGTAGGGGAAACCGGAGCACCCGGAGGAAACCTACGCAGACACGGGGAGAACATGCAAACTCCACTCAGAAAGGCCCTGGTCCAACCGGGATTCGAACCCAGGACCTTCTTGCTGAGAGGCGAGAGTGCTATCCACTATCCACGCTATGCATTGTTTAATCTTAATACATGCATCTAGAAACTTCTTCTGCTGTTTCAACATTTTTCCCTGCACATCTAAAATGTTTTTTAAATCACTCAGCTTTCCCAGACTGAGTGAAGCCATGTGTTCTTCACAAAAATCAAGTGTTAATTCTAACCTGCTGTTAACATTACAATTATCCATTGCTACTTCGTTAGTCTTTCTCCTAACATACTCAACACTTTCTGTACAATCCCTCTTCCAGTGTCCACTCTTGTGACATTTTAAGCATAAATCATTGCTTCTATCTTTACTATCACCCTTTCTTTTTCCTACCTGAAACTGACTCCTCTCTCGCTCTCTCTTCCCACCTTTCCTATTCATCTTATAGTCTGTTAGTTCAGTCAGTTAAGTCCCAAACATAGAAGACAAACACTTACATGCAAAACCTGCAGTAACAAACAAACAAATACTACGGAATTGGGAGCAAGGGAGAAGGGGGATGAGGGGAAGGGGGGGGACAGGGAGCAGCAGAAAGGGAGGGGGGGGAAGAGGGGAAAAGGCAGAAGGGGACACAAAGGATGCACCTCAAACGTGCACGCACACACACACTCACACTTTAGGCCTTTATATCTAAATTTCAATTTCCAATTTAAATTATTGTTTAGAAAAATTGTTGTCGTCTTATTATGCAGGCTACCACAAAGTTCTACCAAAAAGTCACTAATCGGCTGAAGAAAAAATCACCACTCTCAAAATGTTCCATTTTTCCCTCAAATGGCCAGATCTGGTTTTCCAACTACACGTATGCGTCCATAGTGCTGAATTTGTTTTCTCTTCTCTGAGGATGTTTATTCACCCAGTGGACAGAAGTCTTCTCTATTCTGTCGCTTTGTTGGTACCGATGAACCAACCAACGGGGACTTTCACCCTTTTAAATTCCCCACTTTCTTAGAAGTGCGTGATATCTCACTGCCCCAATGCTTTTTGAGGAGATAAATTGGATTTCCTGCGTTCAAAGACGATTTAAATTTAGTTTATTTTTTTAGAAAAAAATTGTTTTACCTTGTCCATGTGGATGTCCAGAAACTCTAGTTCTGCCGTCAACTTCAATCCGGAGACTGGCCATGCCTCAAAGATGGAGTCCTCAAAGCAGTTCTGAATGAAGAAGGTCTCACCGCTGCTCCAACTCCATGTTTGAGGCATCCTCAGCTCCGCAGAAAAGCATGTTGGCATCCGGCGCAAGAAGGACCAAAATATGTGAAAAAACTAGTCAGTGTTCTGGACATCACACACATAGACAAGTTTTACAGACTGCACCAGTCTAGTCTGGGTCTCTGCTAGATGGAAAGCAGCAGAGTGACAAAGAATGGACCAAAAACTCTGGTCTTATACCATGATAATTGAAGACATATGTCCCAACATCCTTAGGTGAAGACAATACCTTCTCTGTTCAAACCAAACAGTAGCCCCTGTGTAATTAAGCCTGAGGCTACTCTAAACAGATGTTTTCTGCGCTCTTCTTAATTTAACTTCCTGTGTTTAATGGCTGGGGGATGGGAGAATGCTGCTGATGCGTCCATCACATCCCATCACACACGTAGGTTAACCCAAAACTGTCTAAACTTTGAATATATTCTAATTCACTTTAATGAAAATCCAACAACTCTACTAACACAATCCTACATTCGAATTACTTTTAGACTAAAAAGTCCTTAAGTGGTGACTGGTTAAGTTTAGGCAATAATAGGTAGTTTGTTATATTTACTTCCGCTTCCGTCCCGATTCCGTATATGATCTAGTGATGGACAATGCTAACACAGACTGTATACAGATCATGGATCTATAATAATAACTGGATAGTGTTTTCCCAGCTTATAGCTGTCCCACCCATGGGCACAGGGGGCGCTGTGGTACTGCAGACCAAATTCACAAGGGCTACCCAGAAAAAAGTCCCATAGAACTCAATGTAAACTAAACCAGCTCGACCTCAGCTGACCGGGAACCTAACAGAGAACCTACAGCTTTCCCAAAGATGAAATTTTGTGGGGATTTTAGTGTCCCTCGTCATCCTGAACTTTTTTTCTTCTTAAATCCTTTGGTTTTCTCTAAATCCACACTTCACTGCCACAAACTCTGCTCCTTTCCTTCCCGCTCTGACTCCGCTCTGACTCTGCTCTGATCAGCAGCTCTGATTGGTCAGAGCGCGGCCGAGCCCCTCTGTGCATGTACGTGAGAGCCACAAACGCGTATGTGGCGCAAAGCATCATGGGAACCCTAACCCACTGCACAGAACCGGGAGGACCAGACGATGCCCAAATACAGGCTAATCTCCCCGTCTCCGTAAAGTCCCATGCGCTACTGACAAGCCCCGGTGATCCAAGATGGCGGCCTATTCAAATGAATGGCGTTGCGCCAAATACGCATATGTGGCTCTCACGCACGTGCACAGAGGGGCTCGGCCGCGCTCTGACCAATCAGAGCTGATCAGAGCAGAGTCAGAGCGGGAAGGAAAGGAGCAGAGTTTGTGGCAGTGAAGTGTGGATTTAGAGAAAACCGAAGGATTTAAGAAGAAAAAAAGTTCAGGATGACAAGGGACACTAAAATCCCCACAAAAAATCCGACCTTTATGAAAGCTGTAGTTTCTCTGTCAGGTTCTCTGTCAGCCGAGGTCGTGCTGTTTTAGTTTACATTGAGTTCTATGGGCCTTTTTCTAGGTAGCCCACGTGAATTTAGTCTGCAGTACCACAGCGCCCCCTGTGGCCATGGGTGGGACAGCTATAAGCTAGTAATACTCTATCCAGTTATTATTATAGATCCATGGCTACTGAGCACAAGCCATTCATTTGAATAGGGTGCCATCTTGGATCACCGCTCCATGGCTCCATGAAGCCCACTGGCTCCCTGTCTCACACAGAATACATTTTAAAATTCTAGTGTTGACATTCAGGGCTCTTCATGGTCAGGCGCCTGAATACATCCAGGGCCTGATCCACCCCTATGTCTCCAACAGGAGCCTGGGGTCCTCCACTCAGAACCTGTTGATGGTCCCCCGCACTAGTTTCAAAACCAGAGGAGACAGATCCTTCCAGGCAGTTGCTCCTCGCCTTTGGAATGAGCTTCCTCAGTCTCTGCACATCTTAGAGACTGTTGATGATTTTAAGTCCCAACTTAAGACGCATTTGTTTAGACAGGCTTTCTCGCCTCACTGTTCATAGTCCTCTGTGAACTGTTCATAGTCCTCTGTGAACTGTTCATAGTCCTCTGTGAACTGTGTAACCTGTGTTTTTCTGTGTTTTGTTTTTAATCTGACTTGTATGTGTATTTTATGTGTTGTAATGTGTGAAGCGCTTTGTGACCCTGGTCTGTGAAAGGCGCTATACAAATAAACCTTACTTACTTAATAGGAAAGTTTTGCTGTGACTCAATCAATTTTGTACGTCTTTGTGTGTGTAACTGTAAAGTTTTGGTTCTAACCTGAATGTAGATTGCAGTAACACAACAGAAACAAGTAACACATCATGTATTATACTTTTTAAGCCCAACGTTGGTGAGTTCTGTGTGAGCCGCTTTGAGGTGTCCTGGAAATCAAAGGTGCAATATTCATGAAATGTATTATTTTATTATTACTATTATCATCATCTTGTGCGTATGGTTTGGTCTGTACTTTATTTGAACATTAACACAAAGGAGAGATGCATTGTACCAGTTTTTAGCAAAGATGCTAATTTCCAGCTGTAGTTTTGGGCTGATTCTTATGTACATACATGACCTTTTCTTTATTACATACATTAAATAACATTTACAACATTTAATGAGTGTTATAATATTATGTGTGTGTGTGTGTGTGTGTGTTCGTTCAGATGCCCCTGGTTGGCGGTGACCATCTCTCCGGCTGTTCCACCATGCTGCGCTGTCGTCTTCCTCTTTGTTTTGGCAAACTTCACCATGGCAACGTTCATGGATGCCGGTGTGCTTCCCATCGGTACGTGTCCGGAGCCGCCATTTTGACGGCTCCCCTTCACACGATGGAGTTCCGAGAAACTCCTAGATTTAAAAAAAGTAGAAAACTATTTTGTTGAAAGGCTCATGTTAACTGCGGACAACAGTTGCTATGGAAACCAGCTCTTGTTTTTGTTTTTAAAGCCTTCCATGGTCTCGCCCTCTGACGGATCAAGGCTGTGTAGACTGGATTTTAACACTTTTAACACGAACCAGGACCAGTCCAGACCCAGTCCAGGTTCAATCAAGGATCAATCCAGACCGAGGATCTAAATTCATATCTAGGGTATTACTATTTTATAGCTGTCCCATCAATGGCCACAAGGGGGCGCTGTGGGACTGCCAACTAAATTCACGTTACCCAAAAAAATGTTTCGTAAAACTCAATGTAAACTAAAACTGCTCAAACCTACAGCTTTCATAAACGAGGGTACGTCCAAATATGGGCAAGTCCAGCTAATTCCGGACATTAAAAAAGAAAACAGAAACTAAAGGTTTTAATGTTGTGGTAATGTTGTGTGGTCGTGTTAATGTTGTGTGGTTGTGTTAATGTTGTGTGGTTGTGTTAATGTTGTGCGGTTGTGTTAATGTTGTGTTAATGTTGTGTGGTTGTGTTAATATTGTGCGGTTGTGTTAATGTTGTGTGGTTGTGTTAATGTTGCGTGGTTGTGTTAATGTTGTGTGGTTGTGTTAATGTTGTGTGGTTGTGTTAATGTTATGTGGTTGTGTTAATGTTGTGTGGTTGTCTTAATGTTGTGTTAATGTTGTGTGGTTGTGTTAATGTTGTGTGGTTGTCTTAATGTTGTGTGGTTGTGTTAATGTTGTGTGGTTGTGTTAATGATGTGTGGTTGTGTTAATGATGTGTTAACGTTGTGTTGTTGTGTTAGTATTGTGTGGTTGTGTTAATATTGTGTGGTTGTGTTAATGTTGTGTGGTTGTGTTAGTGTTGTGTGGTTGTGTTAATGTTGTGTGGTTGTGTTAATGTTGTGGGGTTGTGTTAATGTTGTGTGGTTGTGTTAATATTGTGTTAATTTTGTGTGGTTGTGTTAATATTTTGTGGTTGTGTTAATGTTGTGTGGTTGTGTTAATGTTGTGTGGTTGTGTTATTGTTGTGTGGTTGTGTTAATGTTGTGTGGTTGTGTTATTGTTGTGTGGTTGTGTTAATGTTGGTTAATTTTATGTGGTTGTGTTAATGTTGTGTGTTTGTGTTAATATTGTGTGTTTGTTATTGTTGTGTGGTTGTGTTAATGTTGTGTGGTTTTGTTAATGTTGTGTTAATGTTGTGTGGTTGTGTTAATGTTGTGTGTTTTTGTTAATGTTGTGTGTTTGTGTTATTGTTGTGTGGTTGTGTTAGTGTTGTGTGTTTGTGTTATTGTTGTGTGGTTGTGTTAATGTTGTGTGTTTGTGTTAATGTTGTGTGTTTGTGTTATTGTTGTGTGGTTGTGTTAATGTTGTGTGGTTGTGTTAATGCTGTGTGGTTGTGTGGTTGTGTAAATGTTGTGTGGTTGTGTTAATGTTGTGTGGTTGTGTTAATGTTGTTGGTTGTGTTAATGTTGTGTGTTTGTGTTATTGTTGTGTGATTGTGTTAATGTTGTGTGATTGTGTTAATGCTGTGTGGTTGTGTGAGTGTTGTGTGGTTGTGTTAATATTGTGTGGTTGTGTTAATGTTGTGGGGTTGTGTTAATGTTGTGGGGTTGTGTTAATGTTGTGTGGTTGTGTTAATGTTGTGGGGTTGTGTTAATGTTGTGGGGTTGTGTTAATGTTGTGTTAATTTTGTGTGGTTGTGTTAATATTTTGTGGTTGTGTTAATGTTGTGTGGTTGTGTTAATGTTGTGTGGTTGTGTTATTGTTGTGTGGTTGTGTTAATGTTGTGTGGTTGTGTTAATGTTGGTTAATTTTATGTGGTTGTGTTAATGTTGTGTGTTTGTGTTAATATTGTGTGTTTGTTATTGTTGTGTGGTTGTGTTAATGTTGTGTGGTTTTGTTAATGTTGTGTTAATGTTGTGTGGTTGTGTTAATGTTGTGTGTTTTTGTTAATGTTGTGTGTTTGTGTTATTGTTGTGTGGTTGTGTTAGTGTTGTGTGTTTGTGTTATTGTTGTGTGGTTGTGTTAATGTTGTGTGGTTGTGTTAATGTTGTGTGGTTGTGTTAATGTTGTGTGTTTGTGTTAATGTTGTGTGTTTGTGTTATTGTTGTGTGGTTGTGTTAATGTTGTGTGGTTGTGTTAATGTTGTGTGGTTGTGTTAATGTTGTTGGTTGTGTTAATGCTGTGTGGTTGTGTGAGTGTTGTGTGGTTGTGTTAATGTTGTGTGGTTGTGTTAATGTGTGGTTGTGTTAATGTTGTTGGTTGTGTTAATGCTGTGTGGTTGTGTGAGTGTTGTGTGGTTGTGTAAATGTTGTGTGGTTGTGTTGATGTTGTGTGTTTGTGTTATTGTTGTGTGATTGTGTTAATGTTGTGTGTTTGTGTTAATGTTGTGTGATTGTGTTAATGTTGTGTGTTTGTGTTAATGTTGTGTGGTTTTGTTAGTGTTGTGTTAATGCTGTGTGGTTGTGTGAGTGTTGTGTGGTTGTGTTAATATTGTGTGGTTTTGTTAATGTTGTGTGGTTGTGTTAGTGTTGTGTGTTTGTGTTAATGTTGTGTGTTTGTGTTAATGTTGTGTGTTTGTGTTAATGTTGTGTGGTTGTGTTAATGTTGTGTGGTTGTGTTAATGTTGTGTGGTTGTGTTATTGTTGTGTGTTTGTGTGGTTTTGTTAGTGTTGTGTGGTTGTGTTAATGTTGTGTGTTTGTGTTAAGGTTGTGTGGTTGTGTTAGTGTTGTGTTAATGCTGTGTGGTTGTGTGGTTTTGTTAGTGTTGTGTGGTTGTGTTAATGTTGTGTGTTTGTGTTAATGTTGTGTGGTTGTGTTAATGTTGTGTGGTTGTGTTATTGTTGTGTGGTTGTGTTAATCTTGTGTGGTTGTGTGAGTGTTGTGTGGTTGTGTTAATGCTGTGTGGTTGTGTGAGTGTTGTGTGTTTGTGTTAATGTTGTGTGGTTGTGTTAATGTTGTGTGTTTGTGTTAATGTTGTGTGGTTGTGTTAATGTTGTGTGGTTGTGTTAATGTTGTGTGGTTGTGTTATTGTTGTGTGGTTGTGTTAATGTTGTGTGGTTGTGTTATTGTTGTGTGGTTGTGTTAATGTTGTGTGGTTGTGTTAATGCTGTGTGGTTGTGTGAGTGTTGTGTGTTTGTGTTAATGTTGTGTGGTTGTGTTAATGCTGTGTGGTTGTGTGAGTGTTGTGTGTTTGTGTTAATGTTGTGTGGTTGTGTTTCAGCGAACGAGGACGAGGACAAAGAGGAGGAGTTCCGGGCGCCGCTGTATAAGAACGTGGAGGTGAACGGGGTCCAGGTCCGAATGAAGTGGTGCAGCTCCTGCCACTTCTACAGACCCCCCAGATGTTCACACTGCAGTGTGTGCGACCAGTGTGTGGAGGTGTGTGTGTCTGTGTGTGTGTGCAACCAGTGTGTGGAGGTGTGTGTGTCTGTCTGTGTGTGCGACCAGTGTGTGGAGGTGTGTGTGTCTGTCTGTGTGTGCGACCAGTGTGTGGAGGTGTGTGTGTCTGTGTGCAACCAGTGTGTGGAGGTGTGTGTCTGTGTGCGACCAGTGTGTGGAGGTGTGTGTGTCTGTGTGCGACCAGTGTGTAGAGGTGTGTGTGTTTGTGTGTTTGCGGCCAGTGTGTAGAGATGTGTGTGTCTGTGTCTGTGCGACCAGTGTGTGGAGGTGTGTGTGTCTGTGTGCGACCAGTGTCTAGAGGTGTGTGTCTATCTGTGTCTGTGCAACCAGTGTGTAGAGGTGTGTGTATGTCTGTGTGTGACCAGTGTGTAGAGGTGTGTGTGTGCAACCAGTGTGAAGAGGTGTGTGTGTGTGTGTGCGACCAGTGTGTAGAGGTGTGTGTGTGTGTGTGTGTGTGTGTGTACGACCAGTGTGTAGAGGTGTGTGTGTCTGTGTGCGACCAGTGTGTAGAGGTGTGTGTGTCTGTGTGTGTGTTTTTGTGTGCATGTCTGTGTGTGTGTTTTTGTGTGCATGCGACCAGTGTGTAGAGGTGTGTGTGTCTGTGTGCAACCAGTGTGTAGAGGTGTGTGTGTCTGTGTGCGACCAGTGTGTAGAGATGTGTGTGTCTGTGTGTGAGTGTGACCAGTGTGTAGAGGTGTGTAGAGGTGTGTGTGTCTGTGTGTGTGCGACCACCGTGTAGAGGTGTGTGTGTGTGTGACCAGTGTGTAGAGGTGTGTGTGTGTGTGTGACCAGTGTGTAGAGGTGTGTGTGTCTGTGTGTGCGACCAGTGTGTAGAGGCGTGTGTGTCTGTGTGTGTGTGTGTGTGTGCGACCAGTATGTAGAGGTGTGTGTGCGTGTGTGTGACCAGTGTGTAGAGGTGTGTGTGTATCTCTGTTTGTGTCTCTGTGCGTGTCTGTGTGTGTGCGACCAGTATGTAGAGGTGTGTGTGCGTGTGTGTGACCAGTGTGTAGAGGTGTGTGTATCTCTGTGTGTGTCTCTGTGCGTGTCTGTGTGTGTGTGACCAGTGTGTAGAGGTGTGTGTGTGTATGACCAGTGTGTAGAGGTGTGTGTGTCTGTGTGCGACCAGTGTGTAGAGGTGTGTGTGTCTGTGTGTGTGCGACCAGTGTGTAGAGGTTTGTGTGTCTGTGTGTGCGACCAGTGTGTAGAGGCGTGTGTGTCTGTGTGTGTGTGTGTGTGTGTGTGTGCGACCAGTATGTAGAGGTGTGTCTGTGTGTGTGTGACCAGTGTGTAGAGGTGTGTGTTTCTCTGTCTCTCTCTGTCTCTGTCTCTCTCGGTCTCTGTGTGTGTGTCTGTCTTTTTGTCTGTGTGTGTCTGTCTCTCTCTGTCTGTGTGTGTGTCTGTCTCTCTCTGTGTCTGTCTCTCTGTCTCTCAGTCTCTCTGTCTCTCTGTCTCTCTGTCTCTCTGTCTCTCTGTCTCTCAGTATCTCTGCCTCTCTGCCTCTCTGTCTCTCAGTCTCTCAGTCTCTCAGTCTCTCAGTCTCTCAGTCTCTCAGTCTCTCTGCCTCTCTGCCTCTCTGCCTCTCTGCCTCTCTGCCTCTCTGCCTCTCTGTCTCTCTGTCTCTCTGTCTCTCTGTCTCTCTGTCTCTCTGTCTCTCTGTCTCTCAGTATCTCTGCCTCTCTGCCTCTCTGTCTCTCAGTCTCTCAGTCTCTCAGTCTCTCAGTCTCTCTGCCTCTCTGCCTCTCTGCCTCTCTGCCTCTCTGCCTCTCTGCCTCTCTGCCTCTCTGTCTCTCAGTCTCTCAGTCTCTCAGTCTCTCAGTCTCTCAGTCTCTCAGTCTCTCAGTCTCTCAGTCTCTCTGTCTCTCTGTCTCTCTGTCTCTCTGTCTCTCTGTCTCTCTGTCTCTCTGTCTCTCTGTCTCTCTGTCTCTCTGCCTCTCTGCCTCTCTGCCTCTCTGCCTCTCTGCCTCTCAGTCTCTCAGTGTCTCTGCCTCTCTGCCTCTCTGCCTCTCTGCCTCTCTGTCTCTCTGTCTCTCTGTCTCTCAGTCTCTCAGTCTCTCAGTCTCTCAGTCTCTCTGCCTCTCTGCCTCTCTGCCTCTCTGCCTCTCTGCCTCTCTGCCTCTCTGCCTCTCTGTCTCTCTGCCTCTCTGCCTCTCTGCCTCTCTGCCTCTCTGTCTCTCTGCCTCTCTGCCTCTCAGTCTCTCAGTCTCTCAGTCTCTCAGTCTCTCAGTCTCTCTGCCTCTCTGCCTCTCTGCCTCTCTGCCTCTCTGCCTCTCTGCCTCTCTGCCTCTCTGCCTCTCTGCCTCTCAGTCTCTCAGTCTCTCAGTCTCTCAGTCTCTCAGTCTCTCTGCCTCTCTGCCTCTCTGCCTCTCTGCCTCTCTGCCTCTCTGCCTCTCTGTCTCTCAGTCTCTCAGTCTCTCAGTCTCTCAGTCTCTCAGTCTCTCTGTCTCTCTGTCTCTCTGTCTCTCTGTCTCTCTGTCTCTCTGTCTCTCTGTCTCTCTGTCTCTCTGTCTCTCTGCCTCTCTGCCTCTCTGCCTCTCTGCCTCTCTGCCTCTCTGCCTCTCTGTCTCTCTGTCTCTCTGTCTCTCAGTCTCTCAGTCTCTCAGTCTCTCAGTCTCTCAGTCTCTCTGCCTCTCTGCCTCTCTGCCTCTCTGCCTCTCTGCCTCTCTGCCTCTCTGCCTCTCTGCCTCTCTGTCTCTCTGCCTCTCTGCCTCTCTGCCTCTCTGCCTCTCTGCCTCTCTGCCTCTCAGTCTCTCAGTCTCTCAGTCTCTCAGTCTCTCAGTCTCTCTGCCTCTCTGCCTCTCTGCCTCTCTGCCTCTCTGCCTCTCTGCCTCTCTGCCTCTCTGTCTCTCAGTCTCTCAGTCTCTCAGTCTCTCAGTCTCTCAGTCTCTCTGTCTCTCTGTCTCTCTGTCTCTCTGTCTCTCTGTCTCTCTGCCTCTCTGCCTCTCTGCCTCTCTGCCTCTCTGCCTCTCTGCCTCTCTGTCTCTCAGTCTCTCAGTCTCTCAGTCTCTCAGTCTCTCAGTCTCTCAGTCTCTCAGTCTCTCAGTCTCTCAGTCTCTCTGTCTCTCTGTCTCTCTGTCTCTCTGTCTCTCTGTCTCTCTGTCTCTCTGCCTCTCTGCCTCTCTGCCTCTCTGCCTCTCTGCCTCTCTGCCTCTCTGCCTCTCAGTCTCTCAGTGTCTCTGCCTCTCTGCCTCTCTGCCTCTCTGCCTCTCTGCCTCTCTGCCTCTCTGTCTCTCTGCCTCTCTGCCTCTCTGCCTCTCTGCCTCTCTGCCTCTCTGCCTCTCTGTCTCTCTGTCTCTCTGTCTCTCTGTCTCTCTGTCTCTCTGTCTCTCAGTCTCTCAGTCTCTCAGTCTCTCAGTCTCTCAGTCTCTCAGTCTCTCAGTCTCTCAGTCTCTCAGTCTCTCTGCCTCTCTGCCTCTCTGCCTCTCTGCCTCTCTGCCTCTCTGCCTCTCTGTCTCTCTGCCTCTCTGCCTCTCAGTCTCTCAGTCTCTCTGTCTCTCTGTCTCTCTGTCTCTCTGCCTCTCTGTCTCTCTGTCTCTCTGTCTCTCTGTCTCTCAGTCTCTCAGTCTCTCAGTCTCTCAGTCTCTCAGTCTCTCAGTCTCTCAGTCTCTCAGTCTCTCAGTCTCTCTGTCTCTCTGTCTCTCTGTCTCTCTGTCTCTCTGTCTCTCAGTCTCTCAGTCTCTCAGTCTCTCAGTCTCTCAGTCTCTCAGTCTCTCAGTCTCTCAGTCTCTCTGCCTCTCTGCCTCTCTGCCTCTCTGCCTCTCTGCCTCTCTGCCTCTCTGCCTCTCTGTCTCTCTGTCTCTCTGTCTCTCTGTCTCTCTGTCTCTCTGTCTCTCTGTCTCTCAGTATCTCTGCTCTCTCTGTCTCTCAGTCTCTCAGTCTCTCAGTCTCTCTGCCTCTCTGCCTCTCTGCCTCTCTGCCTCTCTGCCTCTCTGCCTCTCTGCCTCTCAGTCTCTCAGTCTCTCAGTCTCTCAGTCTCTCAGTCTCTCTGTCTCTCTGTCTCTCTGTCTCTCTGTCTCTCTGTCTCTCTGTCTCTCTGTCTCTCTGCCTCTCTGCCTCTCTGCCTCTCTGCCTCTCAGTCTCTCAGTGTCTCTGCCTCTCTGCCTCTCTGCCTCTCTGCCTCTCTGTCTCTCTGTCTCTCTGTCTCTCTGTCTCTCTGTCTCTCTGTCTCTCTGCCTCTCTGCCTCTCTGCCTCTCTGCCTCTCTGCCTCTCTGTCTCTCTGTCTCTCTGTCTCTCAGTCTCTCAGTCTCTCAGTCTCTCAGTCTCTCAGTCTCTCAGTCTCTCAGTCTCTCAGTCTCTCAGTCTCTCAGTCTCTCAGTCTCTCAGTCTCTCAGTCTCTCAGTCTCTCAGTCTCTCAGTCTCTCTGTCTCTCTGTCTCTCTGTCTCTCTGTCTCTCTGTCTCTCTGTCTCTCAGTCTCTCAGTCTCTCAGTCTCTCAGTCTCTCAGTCTCTCAGTCTCTCAGTCTCTCAGTCTCTCAGTCTCTCTGCCTCTCTGCCTCTCTGCCTCTCTGCCTCTCTGCCTCTCTGCCTCTCTGTCTCTCTGCCTCTCTGCCTCTCAGTCTCTCAGTCTCTCTGTCTCTCTGTCTCTCTGTCTCTCTGTCTCTCTGCTCTCTGTCTCTCTGTCTCTCTGTCTCTCTCTGTCTCTCAGTCTCTCAGTCTCTCAGTCTCTCAGTCTCTCAGTCTCTCAGTCTCTCAGTCTCTCAGTCTCTCAGTCTCTCTGTCTCTCTGTCTCTCTGTCTCTCTGTCTCTCTGTCTCTCAGTCTCTCAGTCTCTCAGTCTCTCAGTCTCTCAGTCTCTCAGTCTCTCAGTCTCTCAGCTCTCTCTGCCTCTCTGCCTCTCTGCCTCTCTGCCTCTCTGCCTCTCTGCCTCTCTGCCTCTCTGTCTCTCTGTCTCTCTGTCTCTCTGTCTCTCTGTCTCTCTGTCTCTCTGTCTCTCAGTATCTCTGCCTCTCTGTCTCTCAGTCTCTCAGTCTCTCAGTCTCTCTGCCTCTCTGCCTCTCTGCCTCTCTGCCTCTCTGCCTCTCTGCCTCTCTGTCTCTCAGTCTCTCAGTCTCTCAGTCTCTCAGTCTCTCAGTCTCTCTGTCTCTCTGTCTCTCTGTCTCTCTGTCTCTCTGTCTCTCTGTCTCTCTGTCTCTCTGCCTCTCTGCCTCTCTGCCTCTCTGCCTCTCAGTCTCTCAGTGTCTCTGCCTCTCTGCCTCTCTGCCTCTCTGCCTCTCTGTCTCTCTGTCTCTCTGTCTCTCTGTCTCTCTGTCTCTCTGTCTCTCTGTCTCTCTGTCTCTCTGCCTCTCTGCCTCTCTGCCTCTCTGCCTCTCTGCCTCTCTGCTCTCTGCTCTCGCTCTCAGTCTCTCAGTCTCTCAGTCTCTCAGCCTCTCTGTCTCTCGCCTCTCTGTCTCTCTGCTCTCAGCTCTCTCAGTCTCTCAGTCTCTCAGTCTCTCAGTCTCTCAGTCTCTCAGTCTCTCAGTCTCTCTGTCTCTCTGTCTCTCTGTCTCTCTGTCTCTCTGTCTCTCTGTCTCTCTGTCTCTCCGTCTCTCCGTCTCTCAGTCTCTCTGCCTCTCAGTCTCTCAGTCTCTCAGTCTCTCTGCCTCTCTGCCTCTCTGCCTCTCTGCCTCTCTGCCTCTCTGTCTCTCTGTCTCTCTGCCTCTCTGCCTCTCTGTCTCTCTGTCTCTCTGTCTCACTGCCTCTCTGCCTCTCTGCCTCTCTGCCTCTCTGTCTCTCTGTCTCTCTGTCTCTCTGTATAAATGGCCCTCTGTCCCTCTGTCTCTCAGAACTTCGACCATCACTGTCCGTGGGTGAACAACTGCATCGGGAGGAGGAACTATCGATACTTCTTCTTGTTCCTGGTGTCGTTGACGCTGCACATGGTGTGTGTGCTGAGCTTTGGCCTCCTGTACGTCCTGAACCACCAGGAGGCGCTGTGGGAGCTGCACTGTGCCGTCACGTATCCTTACAACAGCAGCTACTCTACCACTCCCAAAGCAGTCAATTTGACGGCTTTTCGTTGTGGAAGTTTGAAATATTTGCTCATTACCTTTTAGAATTCTTAAAGATGAAAAAAGTGGTCAAGTTATTCTGTGTTTTCAAATCGGAATGGACATACGCTCTCCTTGTGTTTGCGTACCCTCAGGTTCCTCCAGGTGCTCCGGTTTCCCCTGAAAACAGCATTCATAAGTCCCAACTTTCCTGTTTAATTAAAGAATAAATAAAGATAAAATTGTGGTAGAACAGTCGGATTGTTCTGTCCCTTTGCCGCTAACGCAAAGAAGCCACAGAGAAGGTTTCACAGGGTCATCCAGCCAACTTCAGCTCCACCACTATAGTCCTGCTGTACCTCATTGTAAAGCTGAGACCCTTTGGAATCCTGTGATGTGTTTGAACGGTCTGATTTTCTGATCTGTGTCGGTGAATCGACAGTTCTCTGAGAAAACTACTGTTGGGATTTAAGGCCACACAAAAATACATTGGATTTAATAGATTTGAAATAGATACAGAGAGAGAGAGACCAGAGAGAGAGAGACCAGAGAGAGAGCAGACAGAGACCAGAGAGAGAGAGAGCAGAGACCAGAGAGAGGAACCAGAGAGAGAGAGAGAGCAGAGAGAGACCAGAGAGAGAGAGAGAGAGGGCAGAAAGAGACCAGAGAGAGAGAGACCACAGAGAGACCACAGAGAGACCACAGATAGACCACAGATAGACCACAGATAGACCACAGAGAGACCACAGAGAGACCACAGAGAGACCAGAGAGCAGAGACCAGAGAAAGAGACCACAGAGAGACCAGAGAGAGAGAGAGAGAGAGAGAGAGAGAGAGAGAGAGAGAGAGACCAGGGAGAGAGCAGAAACCAGAGAGAGAGCAAAGAGAGAGAGAGACCAGGAAGAGGCCGGAGAGAGAGAGACCAGAGAGAGAGTGAGAGACCAGAGCGAGAGAGAGACCAGAGATAGAGACACCACAAAGAGACAAGAGAGAGAGACCACAGAGAGACAAGAGAGAGAGACCACAGAGAGACCAGATATCGAGAGAGACCACAGAGAGAGAAACCAGAGAAAGACCAGAAGGAGAGAGAGAAGAGAGACATCAGAGATTTGATTTATACTTGTGACTTTTTTTGTATCTCTGTGTGGCCTGTATATATTCGTCTCTGCGGTTGCCGGTCTGTTGCTGGTCTGTTGCTGGTCTCTGGTTGTTCCTTGACTGTGGTATCAGTTTGGTGGTGGTCAGTATCTCAGGACTCTTTGTGGTTCCAGTTTTGGGACTTTCATGTTTCCACCTGTACCTGGTGTCCAGAGGCCGCACCACCAACGAACAGGTCAGACCCTACTGCGTTTACTCATTTATGACCATCAGGTCCTTCTGTAGTCTCTCTCTGGTCTCTCTCTCTGGTCTCTCTCTGGTCTCTCTCTCTGGTCTCTCTCTCTGGTCTCTCTCTGGTCCCTCTCTGGTCCCTCTCTGGTCCCTCTCTGGTCTCTCTCTGCTCCCTCTCTTGTCTCTCTCTGGTCTCTCGTCTCTCTCTGGTCTCTCTCTGGTCTCTCTCTGGTCTCTCTCTGGTCTCTCTCTCTCTTGTCTCTCTCTGGTCTCTCTCTGGTCTCTCTCTGCTCCCTCTCTTGTCTCTCTCTGGTCTCTCTCTGGTCTCTCTCTGGTCTCTCTCTGGTCTCTCTCTGGTCTCCCTCTGGTAATGACTGTTTCTGGTTTTTCCGCAGGTCACAGGAAAGTTTCAGGGCGGAGTAAACCCTTTCACTCGCGGCTGCTGTAAAAACCTGGAGTATTTGATCTGCAGCAACATCTCTCCAAAGTACAACACACTCTCCTCCTTCCTCTCCTCCTCCTCTCCTCCCTTTCCTCTCTTCCTTCCTCTCTTCCTTCTTATCCTCTCCTCCTTCCTCTTTCCTTCCTCTCCTCCTTCTTATCCTCTCCTCCTTCCTCTCCGCCTTCTTCTCCTCCTTCCTCTCCTCCCTCCTCTCCCTCCTCTCCTCCTTCCTCTCTTCCTTCCTCTCCTCCTCCTCCTCCTCCTCTGCTCCCTCCTCTGTTCCTTCCTCTCCTCCTTTCTCTCCTCCTCCTCTGCTCCCTCCTCTGCTCCCTCCTCTGCTCCTTCCCCTCCTCCACCTCCTCTCCTCCTTCTTCTCCTCCTCCTCTGCTCCCTCCTCTGCTCCTTCCTCTTCTCCTTCCTCTCCTCCTCCTCCTAACTTCTTGTTTTTCCACAGATATAACGGGAGGCGTGTTCAGAGATCCACGACCCACGTCCGGCCGCCGTTCCTGCGCCCGGAGACGGAGCGACCGCTGCCGACCAAACTGAAGAACAACGGCGTTCACGACCAGAACGCTCACAACCAGGAAGCACACAACCAGGAAGCACACAACCAGGAAGCACACAACCATGTGAGATGTTGTTTCATCTCCTCGTTTTGTCTTTTGCCTCTCGCCACAGTCACCAGAGAGCTACTGTCTCTGCGTCTGTTTTTTCTAAGTTCTTTGCGAAGCTTCTTGGAAAGAGATGGCGAGCTACTGGTACCTCCTGAGCTGTCCCTCTCTGGTTTCACACTGGTCTCCCTCTCTCCTCTCTCTCTCTCTCGGATCTCTCTCCCTCTCTTTCTGGTCTCTCTCTCTCTCTCCTCTCTCTATCCAGAAGAAATGAGTTCCACAAAGACATTGATGGAGACATTCTAGTCTTTAAGTCTGATGTCTCATGTTTCTCTGGTCTCTCTCTGGTCTCTCTCTGGTCTCTCTCTGGTCTCTCTCTGGTCTCTCTCTGGTCTCCCTCTGGTCTCCCTCTGGTCTCTCTCTCTCTAGTCTCGCTCTGCTCTCTCTCTCTCTCTGGTCTCTCTCTCTCTCTCTGTGTCTGAGCTGATGTGTGTGTTCTTCTGTAGTGTTCTCCTTCCAGAGCCGCTGAGACGAAGCCGCCTCCTCCTCTTCCTCCCAAAGCGGAGCCCGGCCTGAAGAGCCACGTGGCAGCTCTGGACAGTACGTACCAGACCCAGGACTGAGGCGGTAGACCCAGGACTGAGGCGGTAGACCCAGGACTGAGGCTGTAGACCCAGAACTGAGGCTGTAGACCTCTGTAGACCAGAGGGCGGCACGGTGGCTGAGTGGGTAGCACTCTCGCCTCTCAGCAAGAAGGTCCTGGGTTCGAATCCCGGTCGGACCAGGGCCTTTCTGAGTGGAGTTTACATGTTCTCCCTGTGTCTGCGTAGGTTTCCTCCGGGTGCTCCGGTTTCCCCTACCACTAAAAATATGTCCAATAGTTCTAGCATGCGCCTCCTGTACTGGCGACCACGCTCCCATCTCTGTGTGGAGTGAGAGACAAATGCCCAAAATTAACAATTGTAAACCGCTTTGAGACTCAGATCTGCAGTGAAAAGGCGGTATATAAATAAAGATTACTTACTTACTTACTTACTAGACCCAGGACTGAGGCTGTAGACCCAGGACTGAGGCTGTAGACCCAGAACTGAGGCTGTAGACCCAGGACTGAGGCTGTAGACCCAGGACTGAGGCTGTAGACCCAGGACTGAGGCTATAGACCCAGGACTGAGGCTGTAGACCCAGGACTGAGGCTGTAGACCCAGAACTGAGGCTGTAGACCCAGGACTGAGGCTGTAGACCCAGGACTGAGGCTGTAGACCCAGACTTAGCAGAATGCCCCCGCCTTATAATGTCAATATAAATGTACTAACCCTTCTTCTCTGTGGTAGAGATGGGACACCAGACCAAGTCCATCATCCCGGTCTCCATCCCCACGGTCCCACAGCTGAGGCCGGTTTTAGACGCCATTTCCAGAGGATCGTCGCCCATTCCCCCAGAACAGGTCTTTATTGAGTTTATTGGGTCATAATCAGGGCTTTTCAGTGGATTCAGAACTGCAACCATCTGGTCTCTCTCTGTGTTCTCTCTCTGGTCTCTCTCTAGTCTCTCTTATTGGTCTCTCTCTGTGGTCTCTCTCTGTGGTCTCTCTCGGGTCTCTCTCTAGTCTCTCTCTCTGGCCTCTCTCTGGCCTCTCTCTGGTCTCTCTCTGGTCTCTCTCTGGTCTCTCTCTGGTCTCTCTCTGGTCTCTCTCTGGCCTCTCTCTCTGGTCTCTCTCTGGCCTCTCTCTGGTCTCTCTCTCTGGTCTCTCTCTGGCCTCTCTCTGGTCTCTCTCTCTGGTCTCTCTCTGGTCTCTCTCTGGTCTCTCTCTGGTCTCTCTCTGGTCTCAAAATGATCATTATTTCCTCCTTCCCTGAAGCTGCTGCGGGCGCCAGAGCAGATGTCCAACGGCCGGAGTCCAGAAAGGTCCAGAGGGAGTCCTGCGAGAGCCACACACCCAGGCCAGCACCCTGGCCAGCACCTTGGCCAGCACCTTGGCCAGCACCTTGGCCAGCACCCAGGCCAGCACCTTGGCCAGCACCCTGGCCAGCACCCTGGCCAGCACCCAGGCCAGCACCCAGGCCAGCACCCAGGCCAGCACCCAGGCCACATGACCAGCGGTGCTCTGGGGTCTCTGCCTCTGAGCTCCCTGACCCTGAACTCTCGCTCTCTGTCTCTCAAACACAGCTCTCGCTCTAAGCCTCAGTTCTCGGGTCTGGACTCCATGGGCTCCAGCGTGGCCCCTGGTCTGGTCCCCGGTCTGGCCCCGGCCGGTCTGTTCCCTCACGGCAGCAGCAGCCTCTCCTACGACTCCCTCATGACCGCCGAGCCCCTCCCTCAGCGTGGGGGGCCTGCCATCACCTACCACCCGCACTTCATGAGCCTAGCATCCGACGGGACCCTGGTCCAGAACCTGCCGCCCCCTCATGCCTACAGCCCGGTCTTCATGGGGGTGGCCCGTCAGTCCCCTCAGCCCAGAGACCCCTCCCCGTCTCTGCAGGGACTGGGCTCGCGGGACCCTTCTCCTCTCTTCCCTGGGTTCCTCCAGAGAGACTCCTCCCCTTCCTTTGCTGGTCTCTCTCACAGGGACCTGGCCAATCAGAGCGTGTCGACCCGGGACGTCCCGCCCCCCTCTGCTGCCGCACGTTACGACCACTTCTCCAAGACCATTATGGCATCAATACACGAGCGCCGCGACGTGGACGACCGCGACCGGATGCTCCGCCTTCATGGGAGACCTCAGCCCGAGATGGGGATCTACGACATCCCGAGTCGAAGAAGTCTCCCCCCTGAGAACCTGAGACTGGTGGGCTCCCGGGGGCCCACTCCTCCGGCATACGGGTCCCGGGAGTTCCTCATGAGCACGGGCATCCTGGGGTACGGTGTGCGGGGGGCGCCTCAGTCCAGTTCCACTCTGTCTCTGACCCGCGGGCCGAGGACCTCCACCTCTCCACTCCAGAGCAGAGGCCGGACCGCATCTCCTCTGTTTGGGGACAGACAGGCCACGCCCACCTCCACCTGCACCCTCCCCCGCATGCCCCCCCTCCCCTCGGCCTCCACCTACGCTCCTCGCTCCTCGCTCACGTTTGCGGTGGACCAGAAGGACCCCTGCTCCTCCTCCCTCAAGTGACACCGAGTCTAGTCTCTCTTTGGTCTCTCTCTTTTTGTTGTTGTCTTTCTCTCTTCTCTCTCTCCCACTGTTCTCTCTTTGGTCTCTCTGTGGTCTCTCTTACTCTCTCTCTCTTTCTGGTCTCTCTCTCCTCTCCTCCGTCAACTGAACCCAGTGTGAATGAGTCATCTCTGCAGTGTCTATCCACATAATGTTTAGAATCTGCTTTAGGCCGCAAGGCGGGTTGAATGCCGAGTAGTCATTTTGACTGCTCCCATTAAAATGAATGGAATTCTGAGAAATTTCCCCAAAAATATTTTGTTTTCTACCAGATGTATTAAAAGTAAGTCATTTATACAGGAGGTACCTCTTCGCCTCTCCTCCTCCTCTCTCTCATCTCTCCCCTCTTTTCTCCGCTCTGATCTATCATCTTTCTCCTTTCGCCTCTTTCCCCCCCTCTCTCTTCTCTCTCCACATCTCCTCTCCTCTATCCTGCTTCCTCTCTCTCTTCCCTCTCTCCTCTACACCTCTCCACTCTTCTCTTTCCTCTCCTCCCCCTCCTCTTCCCTCTCTCTCTCCCCTCTCTCTTCTCTCTCTCCCCCCCTCACTCCTTCTCTCCCCCCCCCTTCCCCCTCCTCCTTCCCCCCTCCTCTCTCTCTCACTCCTCTTCTCTATCCCCCTTCCTCTCCCCCTCCTCTCTCTCTCTCCTCTTCTCTACCCCCCCTCCTCTCCCTCCCCCCTCCTTTCTCTCTCTCTCCTCTTCTCTATCCCCCCTCCTCCCTCCTCTCAGGTCCTGTCTGTGGGAGAGAGTACAGACCAGTCCAGTCTCTCGTTGCATGAGTCCCTGGACCTTCAGAGTCTTCCTCGGGACTCGCTCTGTCTTTGTTCTGTCACATTTATCTCTGTCTCTGATGGAAATCCCTCGATTTGGAGAATTTTGTAGTTTATAAAAAAATAAAACTGTTTTTGTAAATTTATATTGTGTGTTCTCTTAATATAACAGATTATCGCTCCACAACCACAGATCACATACTCTCTCTCTATCTGGTCTTTCTCTGTGGTCTCTGGTTTTTCTCTCTGGTCTCTCTCTGGTCTCTTTCTCTGGTCTTTCTCTGGTCTCTCTAGTCTCTCTGGTCTCTTCCTGGTCTGTCTCTGTTCTATCACTCTGGTCTATCCCTGGTCTCTATGGTCTCCGGTCTCTGGTATATCTCTGGTCTCTATAGGTCTATCTCTGGTCTCTCTCTAGTCTGGTCTCTCTCTCTGGTCTCTCTCCGGTCTCTCGCTGGTCTCTCTCTAGTCTCTCTGGTCTCTCTCTGGTCTCTCTCCGGTCTCTCTCTGGTCTCTCTCTCTCCGGTCTCTCTCTGGTCTCTCTCTGGTCTCTCTCTCCGGTCTCTCTCTGGTCTCTCTCTCTCTGGTCTCTCTCTGGTCTCTCTCTCTGGTCTCTCTCCGGTATCTCTCTCTGGTCTCTCTCTGGTCTCTCTCTCTGGTCTCTCTCTGGTCTCTCTATGGTCTCTCTATGTCGCCTCTCTAAACAATCAATTAGATGAGGCCAGATCAAAATATTTTCAGCAGTTGATTGTCTCCAATAAGAGAAACCCCAAGGTGCTCTTTGACACCATAAACTCTATTGTCTCTCCTGCTGCTGCTGCTGTTGCAGTGCAGTGCAGAGCAGGTTGCACAGAGTTTCTTTATTGACAAGGTTAGAGCGATCAAAGACAATCTTCCTTCCTCTCCTTCCTTCAGTCATGCTCAGGTTGACCCTCCTCTTCAGAGCTAGTCGTCCTTCAAGTCAGTCACTAAAGAGGATATTTTATGCACTATAACCAGTATGAAAGTGTCGTGTTGTCGACTGGATGTTGTCCCGGTTCGGCTGTTTGTTAATGTTTTAGAGTCTATCGGTCCATTGATCACTAAAATGTTTAACATGTCGCTCTCAACTGGTGTGTTCCTGTGCTCTCTTAAACATGCTGTTGTGGAGCCCCAATTAAAGAAACTGGACCCAACAGATCTTCAGAACTTTAGGCCCAAATCAAAGATCCCGTTCTTGGCCAAAGTCCTGGAGAAGCTGGCCTACAACCAATTATCAGCGTTCTTGGAAGCTAATAATATTTTTGACTCCTTTCAGTCTGGTTTCAGGAGGTTCCGCTCCACTGAAACAGCTTTACTGAAGGTGTCTAGTGACGTCATGATGGCTGCTGACTCCGGTACATGTTCCGTCCTGGTCCTGTTAGACCTGTCGTCTACCTTTGACACGGTGGACCATGGCATCTTGGTCTCTAGCTCCGGGATGTGGTTGGTATGTCAGGCTCTGTGTTAGAGTGGTTTAGATCATACCTTACAGGTAGAACCTTTTGTATGTCTTCAAACAATGTGGTGTCTGAATCTGCAGACCTACAGTGGGGTGTACCCCAAGGCTCCGTTCTTGGGCCTATTTTATTTATGTTGTACCTGCTCCCGCTAGGAAAGCTGATCCAGCAGTTCAGTGAGGTCTCCTACCACCTGTATGCTGACAATCTCCAGCTGTACTGCTCTTTTAAGCCCTCTGAGCCCCAGAGGCTGGTTGCTCTCACTAACTGTCTGGACAAAATAAAGATATGGCTTAGTGAAAATAGCCTCCAGCTGAACTCCAGTAAAACAGAAACCTTAGTGTTAGTCCCGGACAGTATTGTTTCTGTTATTGCTCAGCACCTTGGTGACCTAAGTAGCTCACTATAAAAGAGTGTGAGGAACCTGGGAGTCACTTTTGATGGAGGGATGTCCCTAGAACGACACACCAAACAGCTGACCCGAAACTGCAATTTCCACTTGCGCAACATCTCTAAGCTCAGACAAATGGTCTCGGGTCCGGAGCTGGAGATGATTGCCCACGCTTTTGTTTCCTCGCGATTGGACTACTGTAACAGCCTGCTTACATGTCTTAGTAAAAAAGACCTGGCTCGTTTACAGGTCGTCCAAAATTCTGCTGCAAGGCTTTTGACCCGCACCCACAGCAGAGCCCACATTACTCCTATCTTGAAGGCCTTACACTGGCTCCCTATCTCACACAGAATACATTTTAAAATTCTGGTGCTTACATTCAGGGCTCTTCATGGTCAGGCGCCTGAATACATCCAGGGCCTGATCCACCCCTATGTCTCCAACAGGAGCCTGGGGTCCTCCACTCAGAACCTGTTGATGGTCCCCCGCACTAGTTTCAAAACCAGAGGAGACAGATCCTTCCAGGCAGTTGCTCCTCGCCTTTGGAATGAGCTTCCTCAGTCTCTGCACATCTTAGAGACTGTTGATGATTTTAAGTCCCAACTAAAGACACATTTGTTTGGACAGGCTTTCTCGCACCATTGTTCATAGGCCTCTGCGAATGTAAATTGTGTTTTCTGTGTTTGTTTTATCTGACTTGTATGTGTATTTTGTATTTTAATGTGTGAAGCGCTTTGTGACCCTGGTCTGTGAAAGGCGCTATACAAATAAACTTTACTTACTTACTTACTCTCTGGTCTCTCTCTCTGGTCTCTCTATGATCTTTCTCTGGTCTCTCTATGGTCCCTCTCTCTGGTCTCTCTCTGGTCTCTCTATGGTCTCTCTCTGGTCTCTCTCTCTGGTCTCTCTCTGGTCTCTCTCTGATCTCTCTCTGGTCTCTCTCTCTGGTCTCTCTATGGTCTCTTTATGGTCTCTCTCTCTCTTCTCTCTCCGGTCTCTCGCTGGTCTCTCTCTCTGGTCTCTCTATGGTCTCTTTATGGTCTCTCTCTCTCTTCTCTCTCCGGTCTCTCGCTGGTCTCTCTCTAGTTTCTCTGGTCTCTGTCTGGTCTCTCTCTGGTCTCTCTCTAGTCTCTTCCTGGTCTATCTCTGTTCTATCACTCTGGTCTATCCCTGGTCTCTATGGTCTCCGGTCTCTCGCTGGTCTCTCTCTCTGGTCTCTCTCTGGTCTCTCTCTCTGATCTCTGTCTGGTCTCTCTCTGGTCTCTCTCTCTGGTCTCTCTCTGGTCTCTCTCTCTGGTCTCTCTCTGGTCTCTCTCTCTGGTCTCTCTTTGGTCTCTCTCTCTGGTCTCTCTCTCTGGTCTCTTTCTCTGGTCTCTCTCTGGTCTCTCTCTGGTCTCTCCCTGGTCTCTCTCTGGTCTCTCCCTGGTCTCTCTCTGGTCTCTCTCTGGTCTCTCTCTCTGGTCTCTCTCTGGTCTCTTTCTGGTCTCTCTCTCTGGTCTCTCTGGTCTCTGGTCTCTGGTCTCTCTCTGGTCTCTCTCTGGTCTCTCTCTCTGGTCTCTCCCTGGTCTCTCTCTCTGGTCTCTCTCTCTGGTCTCTCTCTGGTCTCTCTATGGTCTCTCTATGGTCTCTCTCTGGTCTCTGTCTGGTCTCTCTTTCTGGTTTCTCTCTCTGGTCTCTCTCTGGTCTCTCTCTGGACTCTTTCTCTGGTCTCTCTCTGGTCTCTCTCTCTGGTCTCTCTCTCTGGTCTCTCGCTGGTCTCTCTCTGGTCTCTCTCTCTGGTCTCTCTCTCTGGTCTCTCTCTGGTCTCTCTATGGTCTCTCTCTGGTCTCTCTCTGGTCTCTCTCTCTGGTCTCTCTCTATGGTCTCTCTCTGGTCTCTCTCTGGTCTCTCTATGGTCTCTCTCCCTACCGAACTAAACTAAACTCAACGCAGTAACATTTACTTCCGGGCCTGAGTCGTGGATAATAATGTTGTGTGTTTCTTTGTGCACCGCGCCCTCTGGTGGCCAGAGGCTGTAGTTGCAGGAATGTGCTTCACTTTAATTCTAACGTTTACAATTTTAATATAAATATAATGCACACACGCACAGACACACACACTCACACGAACGCACGTGCGCGCGTACAAACACACACACACACACACACACACACACACACACACACACGCACACGCACACGCACACGCACACGCACACGCACACACACGGACCATGTCTGCCTTCACTGAGTTTATTTACAATTATGTATTGAATGTTGTGTTTCTGCGTTGTTCTGTTTCCATAGCAACAAACAATTAAGTGTTAGAAAAGCATTAAACATGTTCAGGTGCTTCTGGTCTTTGTTGGCTGTTACCATGGTTTCCAACAACCATCCCTCTCAGAGAGAGACCAGAGAGAGACCAGAGTGAGACCAGAGTGAGACCAGAGTGAGACCAGAGTGAGACCAGAGTGAGACCAGAGAGAGACCAGAGAGAGACCAGAGAGAGACCAGAGAGAGACCAGAGAGAGACCAGAGAGAGACCAGAGAGAGACCAGAGAGAGACCAGAGAGAGACCAGAGAGAGACCAGAGAGAGACCAGAGAGAGACCAGAGAGAGACCAGAGAGAGACCAGAGAGAGAGACCACCAGAAAGAGATCAGAGAGAGACCAGGGAGAGACCAGAGAGAGACCAGAGAGAGACCAAAGGGAGGCCAGAGAGAGACCTGGGAGAGACCATAGAGAGACCAGGGAGAGACCATAGAGAGACCAGGGAGAGACCAGAAAGAGACCAGAGGGAGACCAGAAGGAGAGACCAGAGAGAGACCAAAGGGAGGCCAGAGAGAGACCTGGGAGAGACCAAAGGGAGGCCAGAGAGAGACCAGAGAGAGACCAGAGAGAGACCAGAGAGAGACCAGAGGGAGACCAGAGAGAGACCAGAGAGAGATCAGAGAGAGACCATAGAGAGACCATAGAGAGACCAGGGAGAGACCAGGGAGAGACCAGAAAGAGACCAGAGGGAGACCAGAGAGACACCAGAAAGAGACCAGAGGCAGACCAGAAGGAGACACCAGGAAAAGAGACTAGAGAGAGAGACCAGAGAGAGACCACAGAGAGTGAGGGATGCAGAGCTCTGACTGCAGACGCTGCTCCCTCATGACCAGAGGTGAGTGAGGGAATGTCGTATAGATCGATCTGGTCTTAGACTTTCTGCTTCTTCCTCAAACGATGAACCATGAAGACTTTTCCCCAAAATGTTTCTGTGAATATTAAAATGTGACCTTTTCTCGTGTTGGTCCCAGGACTGACCTTTGGTGGTATTTGCAGCTTCGTTCTCAGCAGACAGTGTCCAGCGAGACCAGAAGGAGTCTGCTCGTCCTGGTCTTCCTCCCAGACCAGAGGGAGTCTGCTCGTCCTGGTCCTCCTCCCAGACCAGAGGGAGTCTGCTCGTCCTGGTCCTCCTCCCAGACCAGAGGGAGTCTGCTCGTCCTGGTCCTCCTCCCAGACCAGAGGGAGTCTGCTCGTCCTGGTCCTCCTCCCAGACCAGAGGGAGTCTGCTCGTCCTGGTCTTCCTCCCAGACCAGTGTCTCATCCTGGTCCTCCTCCCAGACCAGAGGGAGTCTGCTCGTCCTGGTCTTCCTCCCAGTCCAGTGTCTCGTCCTGGCTCATAGCAAGCGACATCCGGAACAGATGAGCCACCTGAACTGGTGCCTCTCGACGTGGAGGCGCAGCGGTTCTACTCCGAGCTCCTCCTGTGTGACTGAGCTCTTCTATCCTTATTGCTCTGCAAATAAACCTCATTTTCTTTTTTATGTCACTCTCTCCATTCTCTCTCCTCTCCTCTACTCCCTCTCTCTCCTCATCTCCCCCCCTCTCTCTCTCTCCCTCCCCCTCTCTTTCCTCTACTCTCTCTCTCCTCATCTCCCCCCTCTCCCTCTCTCTCTCCCTCCCCATCTGCCACTCTCTCCTCTACTCTCTCTCCTCATCCCCCCCTCTCCCCTCTCTCTCTCCTCATCTCCCCCTCTCTCCCTCCTCCCCCTCTCTCCCTCCATCACCCACACACAGTATTATACATTTAAACTGGATTCTACAACTTTGAAACTGAGAAGAATCCACGGACATTCAAACCCTTATGCTCGTGTATGTGTCTGTGTGTGTGTGTGTGTGTGGGTATCTGTGGTGTCTGCACTTGTTTTCAACTCCTGGTGGGTTCCATAACCTGAGATTCCACTCACGTCATGGGGACTGGTTTTACGTGGTGGGGCCCGAACACCGGACCCCACTGGTCCAAGCTTAATAATCAATGGGTAATGCTTTTCTAACGGTCCTTATGCAGTCTCTGCAAAAATATGGAAAGGACCCCTGGAGGTTTACTTTCCTGAAAAAAGTGTGTTATGTGTCGGAACCCTGGTGGTGGGTTGCGGGATATCAAGGAGGGGCACACTGGGGCAATTTCAGTCCAGCAGGCTGGAGCCAATCATGGAGCAGCACAACAGAGGAAATCAGGTGTCAGGCTAGAAAAAGGTGCAAGTGTGTGGTTCATTAGGCTTGTCACTCCCATATTCGTCCCGGAAACCGGATTCGTCCGGAAGTTCAGTTTGATCCAATGAGCATACGCAGCAGTAGATAACGTCACGGAATCTGGACGGAAGCGGAAGTAAATATAACAAACTACCTATTCATGCCTAAACTTAACCAGCCATTCCCATAAAATAACCCCAACCCAGCCTTAGCCCTAAACTTAACCATCTTAACCAGATGCCTAAGACTTATTGACCAGTCACCACTTAAGGACATATTAAACTTTTGGACATGCGCAAACTGAACTTCCGGACGAATCATGTTTCCGGGACGAATACGGGAGTGACAGGCTGCAAGAAATCATGGAGGAGGAGAGGATCCAAGATGGCGGAATGAGCGCACGCTTTGCAGGCTCTGGTCTTAAAAAAGTTTTATTTTGTCCTTAAATGTGAGTTTTAGGCATTTCACTAGTCAGAACTAAGACCCGTGTGGTCAAATGTAATTCTAGGTCAGTTTATAAACGTTAAACACACTTCTGATAAAGAAGAAGAAATCACGTGCATGATGGAGGACCACGACTATACGCTAGCCAGCCCCTTACCGGAGGATTCAGCTATTGATTTTGACCCGTCTGCAGATTTGTTGGACCAGGAGCTTACTCACACGCCAACAAAGGCTCCCGTCTCTAAAAAGAAGAAAAGAGACAAACCATGTGAGGAGAGCGCCATGGAATCGATCCTGAAAGCTGTTTATGAGGTGAAAGTAGCCTTGGAAAATCAGTCGGGCAAACTTGACACCTAAACTGAGAGCTGCTACGAAAGTTTTAAGAAAGGATCGAGGCTAACACTGGAGACATTAAAGTGAACCAGGCTGCAATTACCATACTGCAACATGAGGTGAGTGAGCTCAAAGGAGAAAACAAAAGTCTGAAGGAAGAGGCTGCTGAACATGCCCGATACAAAAGAAGGTGGAATTTGAGAATGAATGGTTTGCTTGAGAAAGATGGAGAAGACACGAGAGAACGTGTGATTGGGATTCTGACCAGAGTCGTGCCCCTGTCTGTGGATTGGCTCCGTGACACCGTGGACACGGTTCACAGGCTGGGAAAAAGGGCCAATGCAGCAACATCTAATAATCAGCCTCGGTCCATAATCATACAATTTGTGACTAGAACGGTCCGGGATGACGTATGGAAGAGGTCCAGAGATGCTCCGGTGTGCAGAGAGCTCCACATACACCTCAAAGAGGACTTTTCCCGTGAAGACAGAGCAGCGCGCGCCAAGCTGTGGCCACTCGTCCAGGATGCAAGAAGAAGAGGGCAGAGGGCGTTTTTGAAAGAGGGCTATGCGCTGATTAACAACCAACGAGTGGACCCACCATAATGGTCTGAGCTACAGATTCTCCATTCCTAATCTGCTAGTGTTAATGCACTTAATTGTTTTGACTAAGGACTACACATTCTCATTCCTGCGCATCTTTTGTTCTTGCGCTTTACATATATTCTCAGGTATATTTTCTTGTAATTCTTTAAACGCTAAGGGGCTTAAAAATAATGTTAAAAGAAAGGCTGTGTTTTTGTTTTGTAAGGAGCAAAAGGCTAATTGCGTGTTTTTACAAGAAACTCATTCTACAGAGGAGGATGTGGCATTTTGGAAATTACAGTGGGGTGATACTATTTTTGTTAGTCACGGGACTTCACACTCTGCAGGTGTAATGGTTCTGTTGAATAGATTTCCAGGTAAGGTCATAGAGCATATTGGAGATAATAATGGACACTGGCTTGTAGTAATAGCAGATATCAATGATGATAAATATATTTTGGTTTGCATTTATGGATACAATGAAAGGAGTAAAAATAAGTGTTTATTACATGAACTTTGTAATCAAATTTCGAAATTCAAGCAATCTTACTCGACTGATAATTATAGGAGGTGACTTTAACTTGGCTCCAGATTTGTGGTTTGATCGAAACCCCCCAAGAGCATTATGTCACAAATATGATAACCTTATTCTCCATTTTATGAATAATGCTAATCTGGTCGACTATCGGAGGGTAAAAAATCCTCAAACATCAGCATTTACATGGTTTAATACATCTGGAAATGGCCAAAGCTCTAGAATAGACTTATGGCTTGTTTCAGTGCCTTTGGTTAACTTCATTGAAGAGTGTTCGATTTCAGCTTCACCTCTCACTGATCACTGTGTCATCACATTGTCCTTCGTGTTTTTGCAGGAACAACATGGAATGTACTCCACTTGGAAATTGAATAATAGTCTTTTAAATGATTCCTATTTTGATAAAAAAGTTAGAAAATTAATTTTGGAGGTTGATACTTTGGATATGTCTGCAGTCAGCAAATGGGAGTGGTTTAAATTTAAAGTTAAAGCTTTTGCGATACAGACTAGCAAATATATTCAGAAGCGAAAAAGACAGAAACAACTAGAACTAATTACTGAGATTAACAAACTATGTGAACGCACTCAACCCACTGATGTTGATACTGTAAGATTAAACAAGTTGCAATCGGAATTGGATGAGTTATACTTGGACAAAGCAAAAGGTGCTTATATACGATCCCGTGCCCGATGGTTAGAAGAGGGTGAAAAGAATTCTTCGTATTTTTTCAACCTTGAAAAACATAGACAGTTAAGAAAGAAAATTACAAAATTAAGCATTAATGGGTCTGTCCAAGAAGATCTTACAGTGATTAGAGATGAAATCCATATTTTTTACTCAAATCTTTACAAGTCTCGGTTTTCTGCTTCAGATTGTAATACATTTTTTAATGACCTGCAGGGTTTAAATCAGACTATAAATTTGGATTTTGAGGAATTCATGGACAAGGATCTTGAGATAGAGGAACTAGATCGAGCCTTGTTAAAAATGTCAGATGGGAAATCACCGGGCCTGGATGGTCTGACGACAGAGTTTTATAAAAATTTTTGGAAAGATATTAGAGAGATGATGTACCGTGCCTTTTTAGAATGTAAATTAACTGGTAATCTATCAAACACTATGAAGCAAGGAATTATTACTCTAATTCCAAAACCAAACAAAGATTTTCTATTATTGGATAATTGGCGACCATCCATCCATCCATCCATCCATTTTCTTCCGCTTTATCCTTTGCCGGGTCGCGGGGGCAGCAGTCTAAGCAGAGACGCCCAGACTTCCCTATCCACACACACTTCCTCCAGCTCGTCCGGGGGGACTCCAAGGCGTTCCCAGGCCAGCTGAGAGACATAGTCCCTCCAGCGTGTCCTGGGTCTTCCCCGGGGCCTCCTCCCGGTGGGACGTGCCCGGAACACCTCCCCAGGGAGGCGTCCAGGAGGCATCCGGAACAGATGCCCGAGCCACCTCAACTGGTTCCTCTCGACGTGGAGAAGCAGCGGCTCTACTCCGAGCTCCTCCCGTGTGACTGAGCTCCTCACCCTATATCTAAGGGAGCACCCAGCCACTCTGCGGAGGAAGCTCATTTCGACCGCTTGTATCCGCGATCTCGTTCTTTCGGTCATTACCCAAAGCTCATGACCATAGGTGAGGGAGGGAACGAAGATTGACCGGTAAATCGAGAGCTTTGCCTTTCGGCTCAGCTCCCTTTTTACCACAACGGTCCGATACAGCGACCGCATCACTGCGCACGCTGCACCGATCCGCCTGTCAATCTCACGCTCCATTCTTCCCTCACTCGTGAACAAGACCCCGAGATACTTGAACTCCTCCACTTGAGGAAGGACCTCTCCACCCACCTGCAGAGGGCAAGGCACCTTTTTCCGGTCGAGCACCATGGCCTCGGATTTGGAGGTGCTGATTCTCATCCCAGCCGCTTCACACTCGGCTGCAAACCGCCCCAGTGCATGTTGCAGGTCCTGGTTCGTTGGAGCCAACAGGACAACATCGTCCGCAAACAGCAGAGATGAAATCCTGTGGTCTCCGAACCGGACCCCCTCCGACCCCTGGCTGCGCCTAGATATTCTGTCCATAAATACAGTGAACAGAACCGGTGACAAAGGGCAGCCCTGTCGGAGGCCAACATTCACCGGGAACAGGTCTGACTTACTGCCGGCAATGCGAACACAGCTCTGGCTCCGGTCATACAGGGATCGGATGGCCCTCAGCAGAGGACCCCCGACCCCGTACTCCCGGAGAACCCCCCAAAGGACACCCCGGGGAACACAGTCGAACGCCTTCTCCAAATCCACAAAACACATGTGGACAGGTTGGGCGAACTCCCATGAACCCTCGAGTATCCGATGGAGAGTATAGAGCTGGTCCAGTGTTCCGCGACCGGGACGAAAACCACACTGCTCCTCCTGGATCCGAGATTCGACCATCGGCCGTAACCTCCTCTCCAGTACCCTGGAGTAGACCTTACCGGGGAGGCTGAGGAGTGTGATCCCACGATAATTGGAACACACCCTCCGGTCCCCCTTCTTGTAGAGAGGGACCACCACCCCGGTCTGCCACTCCATTGGCACTGCCCCCGATCGCCACGCGATGTTGCAGAGACGTGTCAGCCAAGACAGTCCTACAACATCCAGAGACTTTAGATAATCAGGGCGGATCTCATCCACACCCGGAGCCTTGCCACCATGGAGGCTACCAACCACCTTGGTGACCTCAGCCAGGGAGATGGATGTATCCGCCCCAACATCCTCAGCCTCTGCCTCTGTAACAGAGGACGTGACGGGGGGATTGAGGAGAACCTCAAAGTATTCCTTCCACCGCCCGACAATATCCCCAGTCGAGGGCAGCAGCTCTCCACCCGCACCGTACATGGTGTTGGCAAAGAACTGCTTCCCCCTCCTGAGGCGCCGGATGGTTTGCCAGAATCTCTTTGAGGCCGACCGATAGTCATGCTCCATGGACTCTCCGAACTTCTCCCAGTCCCGGGTTTTTGCCTCTGCAACAGCCCGGGCCGCGGCACGCTTGGCCTGCCGGTACTGGACAGCTGCCCCAGGAGTCCCCCGAACCATCATGGCTCGATAGGACTCCTTCTTCAGCCTGACAGCATCCCTTACTGCCGGTGTCCACCACCGGGTTCGGGGGTTGCCGCCGGGACCAGCACCAGAGACCTTGCGACCACAGCTACAATCCGCCGCATCGGCGATTGAGGCAGAGAACATGGTCCACTCGGACTCCATGTCCCCCTCTTCCGCCGGGACCTGGGAGAAGCTCTCCCGGAGGTGAGAGTTGAAAGTCCGTCTGACAGGGGGCTCAGCGAGACGTTCCCAGCAGACCCTCACTATACGCTTGGGTCTGCCAGGTCTGGCCGGCTTCTTCCCCTGCCAGCGGATCCAACTCACGACCAGGTGATGATCGGTTGACAGCTCCGCCCCTCTCTTTACCCGAGTGTCCGAGACACGCGGTCGAAGGTCAGATGATACGACAACAAAGTCGATCATCGACCTCCGACCTAGGGTGTCCTGGTGCCACGTGCACTGGTGGACACCCTTGTGCTCGAACATGGTGTTCGTGATGGACAAACTGTGACTGGCACAGAAGTCCAACAACTGAACACCGCTCGGGTTCAAATCAGGGGGGCCGTTCTTTCCAATCACCCCTCTCCAAGTGTCACTGGCGACTCCCACATGGGCGTTGAAGTCCCCCAGGAGAATGACGGAGTCCCCGGGCGGTGCACCGTCCAGTACCCCTCCCAAGGACTCCAAGAAGGCCGGGTACTCTGCACTGCTGTTAGGCCCGTAGGCCGTCACAACAATGAGAGACTTGTCCCCCACCCGGAGGCGGAGGGACGCGACCCTCTCATTCACCGGGGAGAACTCCAACACGTGGCGGCTGAGATGGGGGGCAATGAGAATGGCCACCCCAGCTCGCCGCCTCTCCCCGCGGGAAACTCCAGAAAAGTGGAGCGTCCAACCCCTCTCAAGGAGTTGGGTTCCAGAGCCCAAGCTGTGTGTGGAGGTGAGGCCGACTATCTCTAGTCGGTATCGCTCAACCTCCCCCACGAGCTCGGGCTCCTTCCCCCCCAGTGAGGTGACGTTCCACGTCCCAAGAGCCAGATGTTGTGTGTGCGGACTGGGTCGCCGAGGTCTCCGCCTTCGACTGCCGCCCAGTCCTCTCAGCACCGCGCCACCACGGACCCCTCTGCAGGTGGTGGGCCCACAGGAGGGACCAATCACCTTATTATGTAATGATTATAAAATCATGTATTTGCTGACCGCCTTAATGACGGTTTAACAAATTTAATAGATTAGTGCCAATCTGCCTTTGTTAAGGGCAGATCGATTCATAATCACACAAGACTTGTACGTGATTTGTTAGATTACAGAGATTATGTTGACCAAGACAGTTTGATACTGTTCCTTGACTTTTACAAGGCTTTTGATACGCTAGAACATGCCTTTCTTTTAAAAGCCTTGGCTTTTTTAGGGTTTGGTAACAAATTCTGGGCTATGGTCCAATTGCTTTATAGAGATATTTACAGCACTGTTTCCCTTAACCCTGGTATGACTTCTAGATTTAGAGTGCTGCGTGGTATCCGGCAAGGGTGCCCTGTGTCCCCTAAATTGTTTATTTTAGCGACTCAGTTGCTAGCTCTTCAGTGGCGGCCGGCCAATAGAGGGCGCTAGGGCGCCGCCCCACCACTCACAACTTGCCATGTTACCTTGAATAAAACGTTAACAAAAATAATAACATTAAAATATTTCGAAATGTATGTGTGTTTTATTTCAGATGTGGAAGAAATACTTTATAGTTTATGCTGAGTTGGATTGATTAAGCTCATCAGCGTTGTCTGTGTCGGACTGAGGACGTATTTCCGCCTCAGGGCGCAAAAGATTGCGCCCTGAGCCGTCTATGGACTCTCGTTAAAAGTTGTACATGCGCAGTAGCTCCTCTTCAATGCAAGAGATAAGACGATTTGGGGGCGCAGGAGAAGTGCGCCCTGAGGGGGCGGGATCGCCCGCGACCCGTACTGTCACTGTCTGTGACGTCCGTTTACAGTGATTGACAGGTCAAGCTGTGGGAGTTTGAGACGAACGTAAAGAGACGCAAAATGGAGAACGAGAAAAAGAATAATTCAGTTAGATCACTCAAAACAATACCGTTTGAGAGAAGATCATACCAGGAGAAGGTTGAGGTTAAAGAGCTTGGACCTGATCAGCCAAATATTACCATTAGTCAGCAGTCCAGCGACAGGGGGAGACGGTACACTCGTACTTTTTCCAGGACCTGGTTCAGCGCCAAATCTTGGCTAGCAGCATGTAGCGAGGCTAATGCTTTATTTTGCTTTCCATGCCTCTTGTTTCAAACATCAGGATCTGACCCAGCATGGATCAAGACAGGTATGACTGATCTGAAGCACTTTTTAGAAAAGGCAAAGAAGCATGAGCAGACTGGTATCCACATGCAAAATGCCCTCAAATTAGCTATGTTTGGGAAGATAAATATTTCATCCCAGCTGGATGAAAGCTACAGGGTAGGGATCAGAAAGCATCCCTACCCTGCTGGTATATATCTAGTCATCATATTCATAGCCCCCCCAGTAGAAAATTCCACCAGCCGCCACTGTAGCTCTTCAAATTAAAAATTGTAATTTGCTAGAAGGCATTGATATATTTGGAACAGAATTCAGGCTAAGTCAGTTTGCAGACGATACTGCGGTTTTTATTAAAAATAGTTCCATGGTTCAGGTTGCTCTTAACCAAATTTCATTGTTTTCTAGGGCCTCAGGTTTAACTTTAAACATAAATAAATGTGAGATTCTTCCCCTACACTCATGTCAACACAAAAATATTTCTTCAGTCAAGGTTGATAATGATGTTAAATAATTAGGAGTGCTTATTTCTAAAAATGTTATCAGAAGGGAAGATGTTAATGTCGCTGGCCGTTTAATTTATATGAGAAAAGGCTTGAGTCATTGGCTAACAAGAGACTTGACCATTTTCGGAAGGAACCTATTGTCTAAGACTGAGGGCGTATCCAAACTTATCTATCCTTTCCAATCCATGTACATATCACCTCAAAACATTAAGAAAGGCAATTCTATTATTTTCCAATTTTTATGGAGGAATAAAACTCACTATGTGAGAAGATCTCAACTTGTAAAAACATACAACAAAGGTGGAATCAATGCTCTAGATTTTGAAGCAATGATTGGTTCATTTAGAATCAAATGGTTAAAACAGTTTATATCTAATCAAAATTCCTTATGGTACCACATTCCAAACAGTATTTTCAAAAAACTTGGAGGGATTACATTCCTTTTGTCTTGTGATTTTGAGATAAATAAAATTCCAGTTAAACTTTCAAAATTCCATAGTCAGGTTCTGCAGTTCTGGAAAATGATATTTAAACATAACTTCTCTCCTCATGCTTCAACTCTTTGGAACAATAGAACGGTTTTGTGGGGTAGAAAGTCTATTTTTATTAGGGACTGTTTTGACAACAACATTATTTTTATGAACGATATGATTGATAGTGATGGTAACATTTTAAATCATACAGCTTTTGTAGATACATTTAAATGTAATTGTGAGTGCAGAATCTTTAAAAAAGTCTGTAAAGCTATCCCTGTTCCGCTGCTTCAGCTGATAAAAACACATTGCATTATTCTAATGTTAATATATCACTTCCAACCCTCAAGTTACAAGACGTTAGTTTAAACGACCTCAAATGTAATAACAAGTTATTTAATGATTGTTTTAGACAAATTATTCATGCTGACTTTACCAGATCCTCTTTTAAGATCTTGCCCGATCACAATGATCTTTCTGTTTATACAAAGGCCTATTCTAAATGTATAAAAATGTCGCCCCCCATTTTCTCCTAACGTAAAAGAGACTCATTTCAAGATAATCAATCACATTTACCCAGTGGGCAACTTTCTTAAAAGACGATTTAAATTTGAAGTTGAGTTTTGTACATTTTGTAAAGTTGAAGATGAGTCACTAGATCATTCAGATTCAGATTCAGATTCAGATTCAGTTTATTTGCCATTTGCAGTAAAACCACATTGGAAAACATTAGCAAAAGTCTCCAGCGTGCACAGACAAATACAGACATAAAACAACATTAAAAGACAAAAATAAAACAAATAAAAAAGTAAACAAATGTCACTGTGAAATCGATCGACTAAAACAGTTTCAAAACAAGTGCAAATCATTAAAGTGCTCTGTTCACACTGATAACAGCTTGTGGAAAAAACTGTTAGCGTAACGAGATGTCCTGCATCTCAGAGAGCGATATCTTCTGCCAGAGGGAAGAAGCTGGAACATGGCTTTCCCAGGGTGGCCAGAAGAGTCATTGACAATCCTAAGAGCTTTGTTTAAAAGTCTGGATTTATAAAGAACCTCCAGAACAGGAAGCTCACAGCCCACGGTCCTCTTTGCAGAGCGGAGCACCTTGTTTAAAGCTCTCTTTTCTTTATCTGTGATGTTTCCAAACCACACAGACACAGAACCAACAAGTAAACTCTCAATGGTGCAGCGATAAAAGTTAAGCAGAATCTTAGAGTTAGTGGTAAATTCTCTAAAGTTTACGCAGAAAGTAGAGACGCTGACGAGCTTTCTTAACGACTCGGTCAGTGTTTTTAACCCATTTCAGGTCGTTAGACAGAGTTAAACCCAGAAACTTGCACTCCTCTACGATCTGCACCTGGGAGTTGTCGATTACGACAGGCAAATGAGAACTATTCATAACTATTTCCATAACTAATGGAAAAATAACTATTCATTTATTTTTCCATTGCCACTATAACAGTTCTGGTCTGATGTCAATAGTTGGCTAAATCTTAAAATGAAAATTCAACCTGTGAACATATCTCATATATTGTACTACATGGTCATTTCAGACTCTCATGCTGAAACTGTTGTTAATGTTGTCCTAATGTTAGCCAAATATCACATCCACTGTAGTAAGTGGAGAGGGAATAAACCCTCTTTTCCCTGTTTCATCAACGAATTCAAAGTATATTATAGCTCTTTAAAATTATTTAAGAAATATAAATCTGACAGAACGACCTCCTATTTGATTTCCAAGTATCTTTTGTTTTAACTATTCTATTGCTCATTGTATTCTATTGTATAATGTAAATTGTAAGTGAAGGTTATTTATTTATTCGAGTGCCTTTGCCCCCTAGCTTGGTTATTTTAGTCCTCTACTTGTGTTTGTTTATGTATATGTTCCATTGTTCTTAATAAAGTTAAAAAAAAATAAAAATAAAGAAATCATGGAGGAGCACACTGAAGCGCACGCTTACAAACCACTGGTAAGTGCTGACTACAAGTCATGACTTCAAATTGTTATATAGAATTATTACAAATTATTTGTTGTTTGTGCAGCTTAGTCAAGAGTCCCTAATTGATGAAGTTGACTCAGATTCTGACGATTTAACTGTCAAGAAGAAACCTGTAAAAAAGTATGGAAAAATCAAAAACACTTTTCTTCAAGACTCGGAAAGTGACGAACCAAAGGCAAATAAGATTGTTATCATGCAGCTGCAAAAGAAGAAAAATGGGGGGCGAGTTTACAGCAAGAGACACTTCTGCCTCTACTGTTCAATGTCCTGCCACAAAATGTCCCGTCATTTGACTAGAAAACATGGAAATGAAAGTGACGTAGCCAGAGCATTGGCTCTACCTGTGAAATCTAAAGCACGTAAACTTCAGTTTGATTTGATCAGGAATAGTGGAAACCGTGAGCACAATTTTGAGGTTTTAAAGGCCGGCATTGGAACTTTAGTCCCAGCTAAACAGCCAAATTCCCCAGTTAAATCCAGTGAGTTTTTGCACTGTATAGACTGTGGGGCATTGCTTAAGCGAAAGTCGCTGTGGAGGCATGTGGCCAGGTGCCGGCTTTCACAGAAAGATGCCCAGGCTAAACCAGGTAGAAGTAGGGTCCAGTCCCTCTGCTCCCTAGCCCAGCCTGTACCGGAGTGCATCAGCAAAAAGCTGTGGTCTTTAATTTCGGCAATGCATCAAGATGAGGTCACGGGTGTTGTCAAAGCAGAAAAGGGGATTCTGAGACTCGGAGAGCACCTGTACTTAAAACACGGGCATGATAAGACTAAGCATGATTACATTAGGCAGAAAATGAGAGAAGTCGGTAGGTTAATTAACGAAGCAAAAACCGCAGGGAAACTGAAAACAATTAAGGATTTCTTTATTCCTTCCAACTTTAACCATGTGATTGATGCAGTCAGGTCTGTGGCTGGATATGATGAGGAAACAAATCAATACAAGACTCCATCCTTGGCCCTCAAACTTGGCCATAGCCTCAGAAAGCAGATATTCTTGAATGTGACTCAAAAATGGAGCATTGTGTTGATGAACTATTTATTAAAAACCTCCAATGAAGCCGGCAAATTTTTGAGAAGAGGTGGGACGTCTGTGTTTCTTCTGCTGCCCTACAGACCCTCCGGCAAGCCAAGTGGAACACTGCTCCCTCTGACTGAGGACGTTAGAGCCATGCATGTGTAGCGGCAGGTAGTTTGTCCCTTCCTGGCTACCATACACTACTGCACATGGCACACATGCCCCTCCCCTCACATTTCCGTATTGGCTCAGTAGCGATCAGCAACAGTACTTATAGACACCCCAGTGCACAGGAAGGTAAGCTGCTGTCAGGCTTCACTCGTTCTGCCAGATCTCGAGTAGCTGCCGGACGCTGTTTAGCAGCCTGCTCCCACGGCCACTGGTTAAAAGTCGTGCGTGGCCATGTCTCCTCACTAACTTTGTACATAGTGCTCATGGTATTATACACTGTTGTGCTCTTTTGTTTGTGTAGTTACGTGGCATGAAACTAATAGCCATTTGTTTCATAGATGCTGTTGGCCACTGCTGTTTTGTTTTGGTTTTCATTTAAGTATTTCTTGTTTTGGTTTTTGTCTTTTTATTTAGTCTTATCATTTACTTAGAATAATTTTGTTTAAGGCATAGCTATTACTTTTCTTTTGTTTTGTTCTCCGTTACCAATTTGCCCCTAAGATCTGCATTTCTTCCCCTAAGGTCTGGTCTGGGCGTGGTCGTCCCTGGTGGAGGTTTGGTGGCAAAGTCTCACGTCAGTCCCCCTCACTTCTCGTATGTTTTGGTATTGTTCCACGCCCTCACTTTCACGTTTCCTTAGTTTCCCCGTGTGTGTGTGTGTGTGTGTGTGTGCGTGTGAGTGTTCACGGAGCTGCAGTGGGTGCTCCGGCCCATGTGCTTCTGCCGTGTGCGGCTGCGACCGACCTACCTAATTAATGCAGTTTTATCTCTAACTAATTGGCTTTTAAATACCCTTTTTAACTAGCTTTTTGTGCTTAATAAATATTGTTAAACTTTTATCCTTGCCTCTGCCTCATTTTCATTGCCATTTGCAATCCTGAACCTAAAGTAACTAGGTACGGTTACATTCTGGCGTTGCTGGCTAAGGATTGCTGTGGTGATGAGTGAGTGACTCTAGGTTTAAAAAAAACAAACAAAAAAGACATTTTATTTTATTACTGTTTAAAAACCCAAGCAAACAGCAGTGGGCGCTTCGAGGGATCTGCTGCCCCAGAACAATCGTCCTCCCTTCTCAGACGTGTCTACGTGCTCTACCTGCCCACCTCTCCCTTCAACCATGACTATGGAACTGCAAGAGCTGAGGGACCAGCTGGCACAGCTCCAATCGGAAAATGTGCGGCTCCAGGAGAGGCTTGCTGTTCGTGAAACTCCCGCAGACTCTGGTGCCTCCACTTCCACAGACTATGGAACTACTAGCTCTCGACACCGCACTAATGGCTCACCAGCTGAACGTGTGTTATACATTCCCAGAGAAAGAAAGTGTCCATCATTTAGGGGCATTACTGGAATTCCTGTGGAGGACTGGGTTGAAGAGATGAGGGCTACTCTGAGAACCAGATGTCTGCAGCCTGTGGACCAAGCTTACTTTATGTATGACCATCTTGAGGGGGAGGCTAAGGATGAGATAAGGTACCGGCCTAGAGCAGACAGAGAGGACCCAGAGAAAATGTTTAAAATTTTGCAAGAGTTGTATGGGTGTAGCAGATCGTATGTCTCATTACAGCAAGCATTTTTCTCAAGGAGGCAGCAGGAAGGGGAATCGCTACAGGAATTTTCACACGCATTGTGTTGCCTTATGGAGAAGGTCGAGCGAAGTGCCCCACAGTCTATGCCTGATGCCCCCAATCTCCTCCGCGATCAGTTTGTGGAGCATGTGTTGGATCCACATCTTCGCAGGGAGTTAAAGAGATTAGTGAGGCAGTGCCCCACGCATACCTTGATTGAGGTGAGAGCAGATGCTATTAGGTGGGAACGGGAAGGAAGGTCTGAGGAACCCCGGGCCCGAAGCTACTCAGTACCATCAATTAGTTCAATGCACTACCCTAACACACGTGCACCTTCTACCAGTGCCAGCTCGGAGTTTAGGGAATTGCGGCAACTGTTTGAGAAACAGCAAGAGCAGCTTAACCAGTTGGCTCTAGGCCACCAAGCATTACAGACTTCTGCACGTCCCCCAGGTAGAACAGCTCGGCCAAACACTCTAATCTGCCTGCGTTGTCAAAAACCTGGCCATTTTTCCAGAGATTGTGATAATGAACGTGTGCCCTCCCAGCCTAGAGCCCCACATATGGGGGCAGTGACAGCAGCCCAGGAGGTGGGAAACTGCAACCCCCTGATGTGAGGAGCCAAACGCCAGGAGGGGAGGGCACCGGCTCATCAGCCCACAGGGCAGCACAAGAGCAAGCGGCCCCAAATCTCATTGCCCCGTGTCCTAAGGTAACTGCCAAGCTTGGTGCTGTTACAGCAAATTTTTTGTTGGATACGGGGTCTATGGTCTCCACTGTTTATGAGGGTTTCTTTTATCAACATTTCCACACTGTCCCTAGGCCCTGTAATTGGCTTGAGCTCACTGCAGCCAATGGCATTGATATTCCCTATGTTGGTTACGTCGAGTTAGACGTCACTATATTTGGTATGGTAGTTCCGCAGCGGGGTATCTTGGTGGTCAAGGAGCCGTTCAGACAGCAAGCTTCAGATGGGGTAAAGGGTGTGATAGGCATGAATGTGATTAAGGAGTGTTACTACCAGTTGTTCAGCCAACACGGGTCACACCTTTTTGATCTCCCTGAGATACGCCTTGCACCCCCGCTCTGGCAGCGGGCGTTACAGCACTGTCACCGAATGGAGTCCCAGACTCTCCAGCCAGAGAGGGGAGTGGCTAAAGTGAGAGGTAGGCGCTCGGTGATAGTTCCAGGGGGGAAAATTAAGTTGGTTGCCGCTACCTGTTCGTCTAATTTTTTTCGGTCCTCAGGCACAGCGTTACTCGAGCCCTTGGATGATTGCCAGTCTCTGCAACAGGGTCTGCTAATCTCACTGGCTATGGTCAACATCCACCAAGGTACAGTTTATGTCCCAGTGGTGAATGTAGGGACAGACAACCTAGTGTTACACCCTCGGCAGCCTATTGGTATTATAAGCAAAGCCGAAGTTGTTAGTCTCCCCGACAGCGTGTCGCTTACTAAGAGACAGCCAGCTGGTGATTTGGTCACAGTCTCCTCCCAGGCGGCAACAACTAGTTCAATTACAGAACAGATAAATGCCCTTGATTTGTCTCATTTGGCTGGACCAGAGCAGCAGAGGGTAAGGTCACTCCTGTTGCAGCATAAAGGTGTATTTTCCACATCAGACCTAGATTTAGGCTGCACTAGTCTCATTACTCATGACATACCGCTTAATGACGATGTCCCAATCAGGCAGCGATATAGACGCATACCCCCATCAGACTATGACGAGGTCCGTGCCCACATACGAAAGCTGTTGGACAGTCAGGTCATACAGGAAAGTTGCAGCCCATATGCCTCCCCTATCGTTCTGGTTAGGAAAAAGGACGGAAGCTTGCGACTGTGCGTGGATTACAGGCTCTTAAATGGCAAGACCAGAAAAGATGCCTTTCCCTTGCCCCGAATCGAAGAGACTTTAGATTCATTATCTGGGGCCAAGTGGTTTTCCACAATTGACTTGGCAAGCGGGTACCACCAGGTAGCAGTCACGGAAAAGGACAAGCCGAAAACAGCGTTTTGCACTCCCTTCAGCCTCTTTGAGTTCCAGCGAATGCCTTTTGGGCTATGTAACGCCCCCAGTACATTTCAGAGGCTGATGGAGAGAATGTTTGGATACCAAAATTGCTATTCATTGCTCCTGTATCTGGATGATGTGATCGTTTTCTCACCCACAGTAGAGGAACACGTGAACAGATTGGACCTGGTTCTCCGGCGGTTCAGCAGAGAGTCTCTGAAAATAAAACTGAGTAAATGTCAATTCCTCCGGCAGCAAGTTAGCTATCTGGGACATGTTGTGGCGGCATCCGGGGTTGCCACTGACCCAAAGAAGACTGCAGCTGTAGCAAAGTGGGTCAGGCCGGATACTGTAACGGAATTAAGGTCATTTCTTGGTTTTGCCAGCTATTACAGGCAATTTGTGGAGGGTTTCGCAAAACTGGCTGCTCCCCTACACAAGTTGGTAGCACAACTCTCAGAAAAGAAAAACTACCGGGGCAGGAGAGAGCGCCTCGCTGACGCCTGAACTTCCCAGTGCGAAGAGAGCTTCCAAGCACTAAAAAGAAGGTTAGTCTCTGCACCAGTCCTGGCCTATGCTAACTTTCAGCTTCCTTTCATTTTAGAAGTGGATGCCAGTCACGAGGGTCTGGGTGCTGTCCTGTCCCAAGAGGAGGAGGGGAGGATCCGGCCTATAGCCTATGCCAGTCGCAGCCTGGCATAGGCTTCATGGAACTACAGTTCCATGAAGCTGGAGTTTTTGGCTATGAAATGGGCAATGGCGGAACGGTTCAGGGAATATTTACTTGGACATAGGTGCGTGGTCTGGACTGATAACAACCCGCTCAGATACCTGAACACAGCTAAATTAGGAGCCACAGAACAGCGCTGGGTGGCTGAGCTGTCAGTTTTTGACTACACTGTAAAATACCGGCCTGGCAGAACAAATCAAAATGCGGATGCGCTATCTCGCCAGTCCCAACCTCCTGATCTGCCCACTCCAGCACGCCCAGGGACTCCTCTTCCGAACGAGGTGCAACTGGCCATAAAATGCACGAGTGTGGCTACTCAATGCGCTATGTCAGTCATCCCTGAGAGGTCAACAGATCACGTGAAGGTGTTGCAGCAGGCCGATCCAGCTATCGCCCCGGTGTTGCCCTTTATACAGCGGCAGTGTGCCCCAGGAAGAATGGAGAGGGAGGCACTTGACCCTGCGGCCAGAAGGTTACTCCGTGATTGGGAAAATCTAGTGCTCCGGGATGAACTACTACATCGTGCCTGTCAACGTCCTGATGGGGGCGAAGTGTTCTTCCAACTAGTGCTACCCGAAACCCTCAGATCAGAGGTTTTTACACAGCTCCATACATTCCATGGCCACCAAGGAGCAGAGCGAACTACAGAACTCATTCGGCAAAGGTGCTATTGGCCAGGCATGGGCGAGACTATCAGGGAATGGTGTCAGAGGTGCGAGCGCTGCTCTCTTGCAAGGGACACTCAGCCCCAGGTACGAGCGCCTATGAGACATTTATTGGCATCAAAACCAAACGAGATCTTAGCGATTGACTTCTCATTACTAGAACCCTCTCGGTATGGATGAGAACTTGTGGTGGTAATGACTGATGTGTTCTCTAAGTTTACCCAGGTTTTCCCTACCCGCGACCAGAGGGCTACTACAGTAGCACAAACATTGGTCAAAGAGTGGTTTTATAAGTATGGAGTTCCTGCCAGACTACACTCCGACCAGGGTCGTAGCTTTGAAAATGCATTGATACACCAATTGTGTGAGATGTACGGAATAAAAAAATCTAGGACCACCCCTTATCACCCGCAGGGGAATGGCCAATGCAAACGTTTTAATCGCACTCTGCACAATCTCCTCCGTATTCTGTCTGCAGAACAGAAGCTGCGTTGGCCTGAGTACTTGCCACAAGTACTTTTCAGCTACAACACTACCCCACATCAAACTACTGGACATTCACCTTTCCTCCTCATGTTTGGCCGGGAACCTCAGCTTCCAGTGGATTTTCTCCTGGGAAGGGTCAATGAGCCTGTTGCAGGGGAAGTCTGCCGTTGGATAGAGGAGCATCGGCATAGATTGCAAGTAGCAGCTGATAATGCCCGTGAGCGGATGTGGGCAGCTGCAGCACAGAGGAAAGAGAGGGCGGACAAGCGGGCGACGGAGGATGTGGTGCCCGCAGGACAGAAGGTGTACCTACGTGACCACTCTCACCGAGGGCGGAGCAAAATTCAGGATGCCTGGGCCCCTGATGTATTCATTGTGGTAGGGTCCCCAAGCCCTGGCCAATCTGTGTATGCAGTTGCCCGTGAAGACCAGCCTGCACAGGTACGCTATGTACACAGGAATATGTTTAAACCGATACCCTGCAGTCTTTCCCCCCCTCTCGTGGACAGGCCTGACCCAAGTAACCGGAGCCCCGAGCTGTCCGAAACCGGGGAGTGGGCCGCAGATGGCCTCTGGGTGGTGAGTCGAGAGCCAGATGTACTTGCGCATCCAGTCCAGGCTGACGACCCTGCTGTTCGGCCACCAGCCCCACTAGCGGTCAGCTCCGCCCCCGGGTCACGGGTTGGACTCCTACCAGCCCCACGTACGGTCAGCCCTGCCCCCAGCTCACGGTTTGGACCACCACCAAGACGCTCTACCCGTCAGACAGCCGGCCAGCATCCTAACCCTAATAACCTGCCAACAAGCGTGCAAAGTAGGGCTAGTAGGGCTGCAACTTTCCATTAGGTTTGAAATTGTTGGGACACCAATTTAAAGAACCCGAGGGTAGATGTAGCGGCAGGTAGTTTGTCCCTTCCTGGCTACCATACACTACTGCACATGGCACACATGCCCCTCCCCTCACATTTCCGTATTGGCTCAGTAGCGATCAGCAACAGTACTTATAGACACTCCAGTGCACAGGAAGGTAAGCTGCTGTCAGGCTTCACTCGTTCTGCCAGATCTCGAGTAGCTGCCGGGTAGGTGTTCCCTGTTGTTGTTGTACAATTTCAGCCGTAGGTTAATGGGAGTGTTTCTTCTTCCTTTGTTGCAGACGCTGTTTAGCAGCCTGCTACCACGGCCACTGGTTAAAAGTCGTGCGTGGCCATGTCTCCTCACTAACTTTGTACATAGTGCTCATGGTATTATACACTGTTGTGCTCTTTTGTTTGTGTAGTTACGTGGCATGAAACTAATAGCCATTTGTTTCATAGATGCTGTTGGCCACTGCTGTTTTGTTTGGGTTTTCATTTAAGTATTTCTTGTTTTGGTTTTTGTCTTTTTATTTAGTCTTATCATTTACTTAGAATAATTTTGTTTAAGGCATAGCTATTACTTTTCTTTTGTTTTGTTCTCCGTTACCAATTTGCCCCTAAGATCTGCATTTCTTCCCCTAAGGTCTGGTCTGGGCGTGGTCGTCCCTGGTGGAGGTTTGGTGGCAAAGTCTCACGTCAGTCCCCCTCACTTCTCGTATGTTTTGGTATTGTTCCACGCCCTCACTTTCACGTTTCCTTAGTTTCCCCGTGTGTGTGTGTGTGTGTGTGCGTGTGCGTGTGAGTGTTCACGGAGCTGCAGTGGGTGCTCCGGCCCATGTGCTTCTGCCGTGTGCGGCTGCGACCGACCTACCTAATTAATGCAGTTTTATCTCTAACTAATTGGCTTTTAAATACCCTTTTTAACTAGCTTTTTGTGCTTAATAAATATTGTTAAACTTTTATCCTTGCCTCTGCCTCCTTTTCATTGCCATTTGCAATCCTGAACCTAAAGTAACTAGGTACGGTTACACATGCACATATTGAGGTATGTCGACCTGAATATGTGCAAATCCTAATAAGTGAGCCAACCTCTAAGCATTGGTCTAAACTGGCAGTTTTGACTCTTTGTGAGGTCATTATTTTCAATCGAAGAAGGGAAGGTGAGGTTTCAAAGATGCCACTGACAGCGTTTACCTTAAGAAGTAAGACTGGGATCCATTCTGACATTGCTCTGGGACTGTCCGAACTTGAGAAAAAGCTGTGTCAGCATTTTCAACGCATTGAAATTAAAGGGAAAAGAAGTCGGAAAGTGCCGGTTCTTTTGACTCCTGAAATGATTGCTTGGATGGAGGTGCTGGTGGAGAACAGAAGGGCCTGTTCCATCTCTGACCATAACCCATACTTCTTCTCCCGCCCGGGCGCAGACACCCACATCAGGGGATCAGACTCCCTACGGCAGGTGGCCAAAGAATGTGGTGCGGTGCATCCAGAGATGCTATCCTCAACCAAACTTAGAAAGCACATAGCTACTATGTCTACAGTTCTCAATATGAAAGAAAATGAAATGGACATACTAGCCAACTTCCTCGGCCATGACATTCGCATCCACAGACAATATTACAGACTACCAGAGGGGACACTGGAGCTGGCCAAAATCAGCAAAGTGTTGATGGCCATGGAGCAGGGAAGAGTGACGGAATTCAAAGGAAAGAGCCTCGACCAGATACAAATTGAGCCTGAAGGTAATTCTTGATATTATTAAAATATGTATAATTTTTTTCCCCTAAAGGCCACTTGTATTTTTATTTTCTGTGCGACAGGGAGAGCAGTAGAGATCCTCTCACAAACGGACGGGCTAAAAGAAACTTCAAGCGAAGAACCTTCAACCATTCATCCAGATGCACCCCATGGTAGTGGCAGTGCCCCTTCTGGTAAGTGTACCAGGTGGGGGATTACAGCCAGGCTGCTTGGTCCTAACCCTGGGAGTGTATATTGCTAATATATTTTTATTTCTCTCCCTAGAACGTTCGAGAAAGCCATGGTCTGCATCTGAGGTGAAGGCTGTGGAGAAGACCATGATGCCTTTCATACAGACTGGAAAAGTCCCTGGGAAATCTCACTGCCTGGCCTGGCCTGGCCTGCATTAATGCCTCACCAGATGACCTTAGACATCGGACATGGAGTGGCATTAACTTCTATGTCAAAAATAGAATCACTGCAATTCGAAAAAAAAAATCCTAAATAAAATTCCTTTAAAAGAGTTGTTTGTTTTCCATTGACTGTTTTGTATTACTTAAAGTAGTCCCAGTAAAAAAGATCATGTCTATGGGTCCCATTCTGAACGGCCCTGTCAAAGGGACCCACCAGGTAACAAGTGTGTGTGTGATTTAGTATTTTGTCTGCACGTGTGTGTGTGTGTGTAGTTGTGTTGGTTCTGAGACTGGAGGCTGCTGGGACAGACTCAGAGCAACACACGCATACAGAGCAGGACGCACAATCACACACTTTATACACTCCACCTCTCCATCTGCATGTGACATCACCCACCTCTCCATTAGAGACCAGAGAGAGACATTAGAGAGCGAGACAGAGATCTGAGAGAGACCAGAGAAAGAGGTCAGAGAGAGCCGTCAAAATGACTACTCTGGGGTTCTGGTGGTAAATGACTCTCTCTCAGTACCGACTCTGAGCAGGTGTGAGAGGTGCATTATGGGAGCACAGGAAGTGGGGCAGGTCGTTCTAATACACCCCGACCTTCTGTAGATTTTGTCATGTTTACAGACCCAGGACTGAGGCTGTAGACTCAGGACTGAGGCTGTAGACCCAGGACTGAGCTGTAGACCCAGGACTGAGGCTGTAGACCCAGGACTGAGGCTGTAGACCCAGGACTGAGGCTGTAGACCCAGGACTGAGGCTGTAGACCCAGGACTGAGGTGTAGACCCAGAACTGAGGCTGTAGACCCAGGACTGAGGCTGTAGACCCAGCAGGACTGAGGCTGTAGACCCAGGACTGAGGCTGTAGACCCAGGACTGAGGCTGTAGACCCAGGACTGAGCTGTAGACCCAGGACTGAGGCTGTAGACCCAGAACTGAGGCTGTAGACCCAGGACTGAGGCTGTAGACCCAGCAGGACTGAGGCTGTAGACCCAGGACTGAGGCTGTAGACCCAGGACTGAGGCTGTAGACCCAGGACTGAGCTGTAGACCCAGGACTGAGGCTGTAGACCCATCATCACAGTATGACAGTGATCATGTTTTGGTCTGAACGCATTTTTCTCCAGAGCTTTTTCAGTCGTTCTTCTCGTTTAGTTTCATTCAGCAGTAGCAGTAGCAGTAACAGCAGCATCAGTAACAGCAGCAGCAGCAGTAGCAGCAGCAGTAACAGCAGCAGCAGCAGCAGCAGCAGTAACAGCAGCAGCAGCAGTAACAGCAGCAGTAACAGCAGCAGCAGCAGCAGCAGTAACAGCAGCAGTAGCAGCAGCAGTAACAGCAGCAGCAGCAGCAGCAGCAGCAGCAGCAGTAGCAGCAGCAGCAGTAACAGTAGCAGTAGCAGCAGCAGCAGCACAGTAACAGCAGCAGCAGCAGCAGTAGCAACAGCAGCAGCAGCAGTATCATACATGTGTTGATTCAGCACATTGCTAATAGCCTGCACACATTAACCGCAGCATGGATCACAGCTGCGGCGCGGAGGGAGGACGCTTCTAATCCCTCACTCCCTCACTCTCCTGCTGTTCTCCCCTCCTGGGCATGTTACATACGTGCAGTGACAAACACACAGAGTCTGAGATGTTTGTATTTTGGGGGGATTTGCGAGAAAATAGTGTGTAGAAGAAGAGAGAGAGGGAGAGGGAAGAAGAGAGAGGGGGGTATAGGAGGGGAGAGAGAGAGGGGGGAGAGAGAGAGCGTGCTGGTACAGAGCAGAGAGGAGAGGATGGAGACACATGTGTGAGGTGTGCGCTCTGAGGACACACAGAGCCAGGACACGCTCTTTCTATAGATTTGTTTGGAAAAGGCGCAGATTTGGCGATGCCTGCGGAGGTGAAGGAGGTGAGTGTGCGGTGCAATGGCAATGTGTGTGTGCGTGCGTGTGTACGTGTATCTGTGTGTGTTCCCTCCCTCTTTTTTATGAGGCTGCAGGTGAACACACTGCTGCAGAGAGAGGAGAGGAGACGGGACATAGTTTGTTATTCACTGTGTTTGTGTCATGATGAATGGAATGGTTTGGCATGACCCTCCTCCCCCTTCTCTCCCCCCTCTCTCTATATGTGCTGTTTCGGTGCAGTCTCCTTGTGCGCGTGTGTTTGTGTGTGTGTGTGCGCGCTAAAAGCCATGACTTGTGTCTATATAAACGGTACATGATCGCGGGTGAAGGGAGGATCTGAGCCAAAGAGGATTTCCTCCAGGTGCTGCAGAGACATAGTGTTGGTGTGTGATGGAGACTGGGACAATCTGACCATGCAGCATTTCACTGTTGGAGGAGAGAGTGCAGCACAGAGGCACCAGAAGCAAACTATGAAGGAAGATCGAAATGTTTGTTGTTTGTGTGTGTTTTATTCACTGTGGCTTTGACTCATGGGAGAATGTGTTTAAATGTGTATAATTGTGTTTGAATCTCCAGAATCGAGTCACTTTGTAGCTAGAACTATGAGAAAGTCTATAGCGTGAAGCTCAAGGGTTCGATTCCAAGTCCAGGTCATTCTGTGTGAAGCATGTTCCAGGTTTTCTCCAAGTGCTACGGTTTCTTCTGAGCACTCTGGTTTCTTCTTTGTGCTTCAGTTTCCTCCATGTGCTTCGGTTTCCTCTGGGTACTTACTTATTGTCTTTATAAAGTTGTGGATTCGCCAACAACAGATCAGAAAATCAAACAGCAATACCTGCATCAGCAAAGAACTATTTAGAAACAGGCATTAGACACAAGACCGAGGCTGCACCGAGGCTGTAGATCCAAGACCGAGGCTGTAGATCCAGGACCGAGGCTGTAGACTCAGGACCGAGGCTGTAGATCCAGGACCGAGGCTGTAGACCGACTGGAGACAAATGCATGGATAAGAATCTCCAGGTCTGCTTTAGACACTATGTTTTTGATCCAATGTTTTTTTAGATGGTAAAAAGCTGCTGAAGTTACTGATTTGATGTGGCTGTTAAAATTTAAGTCTGAGTCCAGTATTACCCCTAGATTCCTGACCTTGTTTGAAGGTTTTAGGGAGAGAGACTGTAGGTGACAGATAACGCTCTCTCTTTGTTTCTGGGGACCAAAGACAATTTTAGTTTTGTCTGCGTTTAGCTGAAGGAAGTTGTTTTGCATCCACTCACTGATCTGTTGGATACAGTGAAGGAGTGAGTCCACTGGTCCATGTTCTCCTGCAGTCAGTGAGACATAGATCTGAGTGTCGTCTGCATAGTTATGATAGGACACTTTGTTTCTGCGTATTAACTGACCTAACGGCAGCATGTAGAGATTGAACAGAAGAGGTCCCAGGACCGACCCCTGTGGTACTCCACAGGTCAGGGCCATATGATCTGAGACACAGTTTCCAATCTCCACAAAGTACTTCCTGTCTTCAAGGTAAGACCTAAACCAACTTAGGGCGGTGCCAGCGAACCAACCCACTCCTCTAGTCTCTGAGGACCACCCAGTCCTCTAGTCTCTGTGAGGACTACCCAGTCCTCTAGTCTCTGAGACTCAGATCTAACAAGATTAAGATTGAGACTTTGCCTGCGTCAGTGTTCAGCCGGATGGACCAGGGTTCGAATCCCGGTCGGAACAGGGTCTTTCTGAGTGGAGTTTGCATGTTCTCCCCGTGTTTGCGTATTTTTTCTTCTGGGTGCTCCGGTTTCCCCTACCACTAAAAACATGTACAATAGGTCTGGCATGCACCTCCTGTACTGGCCCCGCTCCCATCTCTGTGTGGAGTGAGAAACTATGGCCCCCCTCAAAAAAAAACGATTGTAAACCGCTTTGTGACTCCGGTCTGTGAAAGGTGGTATATAAATAAAGACTACTTATATCGTTTTTAACCTTAACGAGAGCAGTCTCAGTGCTGTGGTGGGGTCTAAAGCCGGACTGAAACATGTCAAATGAGTTGATGATTATAAGAAATCTAGTAAGCTGTAGGTAGACAACTTTCTCAAGGACTCTCCCCATAAATGGCAGATTTGAGACAATAGTTGTTCAGTACCGTGGCATCCAGACTGCTCTTTTTTAGCAGGGGCCTGATGATTGCAGGGACACGTTTACTATCTGTGTGAGTGAAGGTAACAGACTGCTCAGAACAGAATTCAGAAATCTAGTGGGTAGTACATGCAGGCTGCATGTGGAGGAGCTCAGACCGGAGATTATCTCTTGGACATTTTCTTATCATCTACAGGTGCAAAGTGAGTTAGCTCAGAGAGCCTTTCTGGCTGTTGGATTGTTATCTGTGGATTGGAGACAATGGCGTTTTTGGAAATTACGTTTGGAAGTTAGCTCTAATGGCATTTGAACAGGGGGGTTTGTTAATCTATTAACTGTTGAAAACAGAACACGCAGATTGTTACTGCAGCCTTCAATCATTTCAGAAAAATACCTTTCTCTCGTACTACGTAGCACCGGGTTAAACTCGCACAACTTATCTTTGAAGATCCTGTAATCAACCTCGAGGTTGGACTTGCGCCACTTCCGCTCGGCCCTCCGGCCCTTTCTCTTTTGTGCCCTGACCGAGTCTGCTTTAGCCCACGGCGCCTTCTGCTTATTTTTCACTATTCTAACCTTCACAGGGGCAACGGTATCCAGAACATTCAAAACACTAGAGGTGACAGAGTTAAACAGTTCATCTACAGTAGAATACGATGCATTCTCAAAGTTTATCCCATAAATAGTTCACCCGTATTTTCATTTATGCGTCTTCTTCGAACAGTTGCAAGAGTCCACTGGTGGTTTGTTAGTGAAACACATGTAAAAAAAAACACTGAAATGATCCGAAAGAGCAACATCGACCACGTTTACATTTGAAATATTTACCCCCTTAGTAACTAACAGATCTAGAGTGTGCCCTCTGCTGTGGGTGGGGCCACTCACGTGCTGAGTGAGACCAAAGGATTCAAGAACAGAACTCAGCTCTTTTGCATTTCTGTCATTAACATTATCCACATGAATATTAAAATCACCTGTAATAACTAAACTATCAAAGTCTGAGCATACAACTGAAAGCAACTCGGTAAAACAGCCTCAGTCCTGGATCTACAGCCTCAGTCCTGGATCTACAGCCTCAGTCCTTGGTCTTCAGCCTCAGTCCTGGATCTACAGCCTCAGTCCAGGATCAACAGCCTCGGTCCTGGGTCTACAGCCTCAGTCCTGGGTCTACAGCCTCAGTCTTGGGTCTGCAGTCTCAGTCCTGGATCTACAGCCTCAGTACTGGATCTACAGTCTCAGTCCTGGATCTACAGCGTCAGTCCTGGGTCTGCAGTCTCAGTCCTGGTTAAGAACAGAGATGAACCAATGGCTGTGTGTTTGTTATTATTGCATTTCCTGTGTTCGAACTGTTTGGGTCAGAGTAGATCTGGGTTCTGTCCTGGTCTTTCTTTGGGTCGTGTCCCGGGGCAGGTCTGGGTTCAGGGCTGAGGAGCAGAGACAGAGCTGTGACTAATGCGTCCTGACGTCGTTGATGTCATGTTTTATTACAGCGGGAGGCACTCGTTCCAGATTCCAGAGATAAAGACAAAACGCCTGTTCAAGTCAATTTAGCTTCCAGCTTGATCAGGAAGCAGTGAATCACAACACACATATAAACACACACACAGACACACACATATACACACACACACACATTCACATACATGTACACACATAAACATACACACACACATACATATACACACACTAAAACAATACACACCAACACACACACAGACACACGCACACACACATGCACACTCTGAGTCAAGGCCCCTGAGGTCGTCATGGAGATCCAAAGTCAGAATAATTATTGTTTGCTACAGTTATAATGTGTGGTTTTATATAAAGTGTTTTCCCGCACACTCAAAGTCTCTTCACATCATTTTTCTTTCACTCCAGACACTGAGGTGTTATATTACTACTGTAGCCACAGCTGCCCTGGGGCACGCTGACATAATCGAGGCAACCAGTTTGTGCCATCGGCCCCTCCCACCACCATCAACCATTCACACACACACCAGACTCATTCTAATGTGGGGGAAGTGTCTTGCCTAAGGACACAACCAAAGTTTGGCACTTCACAGCCGCAGCTGCCTCACTGTGGCATCTGGTGTTCCCAAAGGTCTCCCATCACAATTCTACTAATAATAAGGAAAAGGTTGATTTGAACATTAGCTGGAGCCAATTTCCTTATATGGGAATTTGTTGAGATGGAGTTAGCTTAGAGAAGAAACCGGATGGTTGCTAAGATTGGTTGCTAAGGAAAGATGGAGTTTCCCCCTGAATGAATGAAGGCATCTGATTGGTCAGTCCTCGTGTGGCTCACATCTGGAAGAGCCAGAGAGAGATGGAGCCGAACTTTGTCCATGAGCACTTCCCTATTGCGCTTTATTGAGCTAGCATGTTGTTAGCATTGTCCATCTGTATACAGTCTGTGTTAGCATTGTCCATCTGTATACAGTCTGTGTTAGCATTGTCCACCTGTATACTGTCTGTGTTAGCATTGTCCATCTGTATACAGTCTGTGTTAGCATTGTCCATCTGTATACTGTCTGTGTTAGCATTGTCCATCTGTATACAGTCTGTGTTAGCATTGTCCACCTGTATACAGTCTGTGTTAGCATTGTCCATCTGTATACAGTCTGTGTTAGCATTAGCATCTGTCCCCCTAGGACACGTTATGGCCCGTCATAACGTGTCCTTCCACTGCTATGCGGACGACACACAGATCTACCTCCCGCTGAGACCAAACGACCCTGGAAGTCTGGCTGCTGTGGTCGACTGTTTTAACGATGTGAACCGTTGGATGGCCCACAACTTCCTTCAACTCAACACCTCCAAATCAGAAGTCCTCCTCATCAACCCATCTATATCCTACATCCAAACCCACCTCGGCCCCCTGTCCTCAAACATCACTCCCTCCGCCCGTAACCTTGGTGTCATTTTCGATTCTCACCTCACCTTCTGCTCCCACATCAATAAAACCACCCAAACCTGCTTCTATCACCTCCGCACAATCTCAAAGATTAAAAACATCCTCACTCCTCCCGATCTCCATAAAGTTGTCAACGCCCTCATCTTCTCCCGCCTCGACTACTGCAACTCCCTCCTCTCCAATCTCGACTCCAAATCCCTCTCCCGCCTCCAACTGGTCCAGAACGCAGCAGCCAGACTTCTCACTGGTTTTAACAGAAGGGAGCACATCACCCCTGTTTTAGCGTCCCTCCACTGGCTCCCTGTGCGATTTAGAATTGATTTTAAGATTTTACTGATTACTTTTAAAGCTCGTTTAGGTCTGGCACCAAGCTATATTTCTGAACTTTTAACCCCCTATGAGCCCCCCCGCAGCCTTAGATCCTCGGGCAGGTCCCTGTTGACTGTTCCAAGGTCGAGGCTCCGGACGAAAGGTGACCGAGCCTTCTCTGTCCGGGCTCCTCGGCTTTGGAACGACCTGCCCGAGGAGATAAGGCTAGCACCATCAGTATCCTCTTTTAAATCTCTTCTTAAAACCCACTTTTATCAAACAGCTTTTAACTGTTGGTTTTAAACTTCACATGCTTTATTTTAATGTCTGCTTTGTCTTTGTTGTGTCTCTTTTGTGTTTTGCTCTGTTTGCTTTGTGTTTCTGTATCTAATTATTTTGACCTTGTATTATGACTGTTTTTATTGTTTATCATGCTGACTGTGCAGCGCTTTGTAAACATTGTTTTTAAAAGTGCTATACAAATAAAGATTATTATTATATTATTATTATACAGTCTGTGTTAGTATTGTCCATCTGTATCAAGCCCCGGCGATCCAAGATGGCGCCCTATTCAAATGAATGGTTTGTGCTCAGTGGCGCTTTGTGACGGCATGGGGGCTGAAAGATTAGTGGAAGTGGCCTGAAACTCGCAAAGATCTATGGGAAACTCGCAAAGAACTTTGGGAAACTCGCAAAGATCTATGGGAAACTCTCCTGTATTTGGGCATCGTCTGGTCCTCCCGGTTCTGCGCAGTAGATGATCTCCCATAATGCGTTGCACCAAACACGCGTGTGTGGGTCTCACGCACGTGCACAGAGGGGCTCGGCCGCGCTCTGACCAATCAGAGCAGTTCATCAGAGCGGGAGTTAGAGCGAGAGCCAGAGGAGCAGAGTTTGTGGCATTAAAGTGTGGATTTAAACAAAACCGAAGGATTTAAGAAGAAAAAAAGTTCAGGATGACAAGGGACACTAAAATCCCCACAAAATACTATCTTTATTAAAGCTGTAGGTTCTCTGTCAGGTTCTCTGTCAGCTGAGGTAGAGCTGTTTTAATATGCATTGAGTTCTATGGGGAAAATTTCTGTGTAGCCCACGTGAATTTAGTCTGGTTCAGTCTGCAGTACCACGAGAATCCCCTGAGCACATGAGTTATTCAGCTACAAGCTAGTAATACCCTATCCAGTTAATATAATACATCCATGATCTGTATACAGTCTGTGTTAGCATTGTCCATCTGTATAGTCTGAGTTAGCATTAGCATCTGTATACAGTCTGTGTTAGCATTGTCCATCTGTATACAGTCTGTGTTAGCATTGTCCATCTGTAAACAGTCTGTGTTAGCATTAGCATCTGTATAGTCTGAGTTAGCATTAGCATCTGTATACAGTCTGTGTTAGCATTGTCCACCTGTATACAGTCTGTGTTAGCATTGTCCACCTGTATACAGTCTGTGTTAGCATTGTCCATCTGTAAACAGTCTGTGTTAGCATTAGCATCTGTATAGTCTGAGTTAGCATTAGCATCTGTATACAGTCTGTGTTAGCATTGTCCATCTGTAAACAGTCTGTGTTAGCATTAGCATCTGTATAATAATACAGATGATGTAATAATCCATAGAGTGAGATTGCAGCAGAAATGTGGATTTCAGCAACAAAAGTATCGACCTCAGTGTCTTAAAAGTAACATTTGTAACTTTGTATCAGCAAGTGTGTGTTTGTTTGTGCGGTGTAAGGCAGGAGTGTGTGTGTGTGTGTGTGTACGGCAGGAGTGTGTGTGTAGACCCAGGACTGAGGCTGTAGACCCAGGACTGAGGCTGTAGACCCGGAGCATGTCACTCTGAAAGTGACATCAACATCTATTTTCAGAATCAAAGCAAAACAAATCAGTTCATTTTTCTGCAGCTGCTCCACAGGAAGCTCCGGGTTTTACTGCAGTTTGAACAAACAAGACAATGTTGTTCAAAGATGCCTCAGTCCAAAGAGAGAGAGACCAGAGAGAGAGAGAGAGAGACCAGGGAGAGACCAGAGAGAGAAACCAGAGAGAGACCAGAAGAAGACCAGAGAGGAAGACAAGAGAGAGACCAGACAGAGAGAGAGAGAGCAGAGAGACAAGAGAGAGAGACTAGACGGAGACCAGTGAGAGACCGGAGAGAGAGAGACCGGGGAGACCAGGGAGATAGAGACCAGGTTCCTGGTTCTAGTCTGGACTAATGGATAGTTGCTTTGATCAAGTAGAGATGTGTACATAAACACAAGAAAGTATTTTTTAAAGGTATAGCTAGTCATCTTTATTGATATAGCGCCTTTCCCATTCCAGAGTCACGAAGCGCTTTATAAATGTTCTTCCATTTGTCTCTCACTTCACACGGGACCTACAGGAGGCTCATACCAGATCTATTGTACATGTTTTTAGTGGTAAGGGAAACTGGAGCACCTGGAGGAAACCTACACAGATACAGGGAGAGCATGCAAACCCCACTCAGAAAGGTCTTAAGGTGGAATCAAACAGAGAGAGCAGAGAGAGAGAGAGACCGGAGAGAGAGATAGCAGTCTGATGCTGAGGTGAGAGAGAGACATGAGAGAGAGAACCTTCTTGCACAAGCGCTAACTACTCTGCCACAGCCACTGCCAAATGCTCTAGACTGTATATGTTTCTCTGATGGTAATAATCTGCTGATGTCACTGATGAGTCACTGATGCAGCTCTGTGTGTGCATCAGGAGCAGGAGCAGGGGGTGGAGGGGCCCCCAGCTCTGGTCTTGTCCCCAGACCAAAAGGAGGGAGGGGTAGAAACCCCAGGAGCCTCCGACATCTGTGACGAACTGGACACGCCCACTTCCATCGCCTCCGCTGTGACCTCGACCAATGAGAGCTCCACAGAGACTGATACACCCCAACAGACTGACACTGAGGTGAGAGACCAGAGACCAGAGAGAGAGAGACCAGAGAGAGAGCAGACTGACACAGAGGTGAGAGACCAGAGACCAGAGAGAGAGAGACCAGAGAGAGAGCAGACTGACACAGAGGTGAGAGACCAGAGAGAGAGAGACCAGAGAGAGAGCAGACTGACACAGAGGTGAGAGACCAGAGAGAGAGAGACCAGAGAGAGAGACCAGAGAGAGAGAGACCAGAGAGAGAGCAGACTGACACAGAGGTGAGAGACCAGAGAGAGAGCAGACTGACACAGAGGTGAGAGACCAGAGAGAGAGAGACCAGAGAGAGAGCAGACTGACTCTGAGGTGTGAGACCAGAGAGAGAGAGACCAGACTGAGGTGAGAGAGCAGAGCGAGAGAGAGCAGAGAGATTGATCCATTTTAAATCCACCGTTTTTCTCTGGCTAAAAACTCAGAGTTCATTATTTCCCGCAGCGGGTGAAAAAACATCAACAGATAAATAACTATGAAGCGGCTTTCGTTCTGGAAATGTGAGAAAAACAGCCTCCGCTGGGGTCCAAGGGGTTCTGGTCCAGACCCAGGATCTGGTCCAGACCCAGAGAGAACAAACAACTTTGTGTTGCTTCTGCTAACGAGAAGCAACACAAAGCTGAGCCACAACCACCACGCACACACACACACACACATAGACACACACACGAGATATACGACACAACACCGTGCCCTCGTAAAACAGAGACCTTGAGTTGTGTTTGGATCCGTCCATGCTAATATCAGACCAATGCAGAGTTACAAACATGTACTGTAAAGCCTAGCGTACATCGGACTGGCAACTGATTATATCCATCGACAATCTGACGAAAACGGGCAACTCCCAGTAGCAGACCAGTCTTGGGAATAACAGCGCGTACATCGACAGCAACTGGCCTCACCTACAGTGTGTTTTCTGACATAAACTGTTGCGGGCTCGCAACACACGCAATACACACACGTTGTCGGAGCGGCGCATGGAGCGCACACATCGGGTCATATCTCCGAAACTGAGGACAACTAGTTGCCGAAAAGTAGAACACGGGCAACTGACTGAAACTGGAGACCGACTGTTTATCTCCAGTTGTAAGAGCGCGCACATCGACCGATTTCGGCAACTGATCATCTCCATCATCTCCTCTCAGTTGCCAAAAGCCGCCTTGCAACTAGTTGTCCCCAGTTTCTCGGTCGATGTACTCTAGGCTTAACTCTGCATCTGTCTCACACGCACACACACACAGACACACAAACACAGACACACAAACACACACGCATGCACACGAGTACAAAGTTAGGGACCCCAGCTTTAATGAGTTTTAGACAGAGGAGACATCGGGAAAGACAGACACTTCATGAGGCCCTGTGTATTTCCTTTGTTAATAGAGACTAGAGAGAGAGAGACCAGAGAGAGAGCAGAGAGAGAGAGAGAGCACAGAGAGAGCAGAGAGAGAGAGAGAGCACAGAGAGAGCAGAGAGAGAGAGCGACCAGATAGAGAGAGAGAGAGAGAGAGGAGACTGACACTGAGGTGAGAGACCAGAGAGAGAGAGAGAGAGAGAGGGACCAGAGAGAGAGACCTCTGTATATTTCTAATAGTTTTCCATCCTCACAGGAGTCCAAAGCAGTGGAGCGAGACCTAAAACTGGACCAGACCGAGAGTCCAGCAGCTCTGAGTCCATCTGAGCAGAACCTCCAGACCCTGGGCTCTCCAGAACTCACCTCAACCCCAGTGGCTCCGGACCCAACTGGGACCGAGACACCAGCCCCAGCCTCTGAGACCACCCTACCCGAGCCCGCCCCTCTACCCTCCCCCACCCCCACCCCCGGGCTGCAGCCTGACGCCCAGCCAGGACCCACGGACACCCGGGTCTACGCCCTCCCAGACGGGTACCGGACCCTCGGCGGAGACCTGTGCCCTGGATATGGGAGTCTGTCCAGGGCCACGGTCCACGGGTACTGGCCGGCCAAGACCTACCAGCCCGGGGCCCACTTCACGCTGCCTTTCCTCAGGGACAGCTACACCCCGTCAGTCCTGGGGGTCCAGACGGAGGAGAGGGCCGAGACCCCGAGCGAGCTGAAGCAGGACCACCCAACGGGGACCTACGCCACGCTGGGGGGAGGCCATCAGTTCAGACCCATAACCACGATGGAGCTTCTCAGAGAACCATCGAGAACCAGGTGAGTCGCGTGAGAGATGTGGAGAGTACCAGGGTTTCTGTCACATCAGAGAGAGACCAGAGAGAGAGGCAAGAGAGAGAGACCAGAGAGAGACAAGAGAGAGAGCATAGAGAGAGACCAGAAAGAGACCAGAGAGAGACCAGAGAAAAACCAGCGAAAGGGGGGGAGTACAGAGAGAAAGACAAGAGAAAGACCAGAGAGAGAGACCAGAAAGGAATACCAGCGAGAGACCAGAGAAAAACCAGAGAGAGACAAGAGAGAGACCATAGAGAGAGACCAGAAAGAGACCAGAGAGAGACAAGAGAGAGGCCAGAGAGAGAGACCAGAGAGAGACCAGAGGAATATCAGAGAAAGGGAGAGAGTAGAGAGAGAGAGACAAGAGAAAGACCAGAGAGAGAGACCAGAAAGGAATACCAGAGAGAGACCAGAGAGAAAGAGACGAGAGGGATCAGAGAGAGACCAAAGAGAGAGACAAGAGAGAGAGACCAGAGAGAGACCAGAGCAAAACCAGACAAAGGGAGAGAGAAGAGAGACCAGAGAGAAAGAGACGAGAGAGATCAGAGAGGGACCAAAGAGAGAGACCAGAAAGAGAGACTGGAGAGAGAGACCAGAGAAAGGGAGAGAGTAGAGTAGAGGCTGATGGAAACAGGACTATAAATTCTAACTCTAATGATCTAGAACATGTGAGATGTAAGAGTCGTACTTTTTTTAGGCCCGAGCCCCAACCGGGGTAAGGGCCTATTGCTTTTCCAACGAGTAATGCCTGGGCGAAGTAATGCCTGGGCGAAGTAATGCCTGGTAACTGTCATAAGTCACAATCTCCGGGCGCAGCCCGGAGATTGTGACCTGCACGCGACGGCACGTGCCCAGACACTGATAAATCCGTGCCGGAGGCACGAAATGGCTTTGCTCCTGCTGTAGTACACAGTGAAATGATTGAGGTCCTATTAAAGGGGGGTTCTTTCAACTGTCTTACGGACAGTGACCCAAGCCCGACGGCGCCCAGACACTGACAAAACAGTGCCGAAGGCACTGAATGGCTTTGCTTCTGCTGTAGTACACAGTGTAATCAATGGGGTCCTATGGGCGGGGTGGGTGACCTCATGATGGCGAGGTGATTGACGAGCGCTGACGCGCTCGTCAATCACCGAGAACCCAATAGTTGCGTTTCTCTGGTCGTTTGCTTTAAAACGACGTATCATTTGTATTATAGGTTACTATGGAAACCTATATTGTTTTTGCTCGAAGATTTACAAAAAAAATTCCTTGGTTTATTATTTCTTTTTTCTTCTGCACTTTGAACCTTAATTTGACCCCCTGAACATTGATGAAAAGTTGTGAAATTTTGCCCAAAATTCAGAACCGGCAAAAAATTTATTATTTTGGTGTTTATTTTTATGGGACTAAAAAAATGACCAAACAGCGCCCCCTACAAAAGTCAGTTTACATTGCGCCTATGGGAGGAGGTCGGAGGTCAAGTTTGTCGTAGAGCCACAAAACTCGGTACACATGTTCCTCAGGTCAAGACATGAAAAAAAAGTGATTATGGCTCCGCCCCCTGACAAACAGGAAGCTCATTAATTTCAATGGGAAATGGAAAAATGAAAATTGATCTTTTTCACACATGTCGGCTGGAAATTATCTCCTCCTCGGCCGCTTCACCGATTTCTCAAAATCGCTCCACATGGTCTAAACACATGTACCATCTATTATTGAATATAGAATTTGGATCAGTTAAACGTTGTCCGAGCAGCGGAGCGGCAAAATGTGACATGTTTTTTCCAATTTTTGACAAAAGTAAATTTGCTCCCATTTGCACAAAAAAGTCAGATTTGCACAAAATTTTAAGCCATTGTTCAGTTCCAGGGTCTAGGTCATTTGAAAGTTTAAATATTGAAATTGACTCATTAGCGCCCCCTACAGACTATGTCAAAGTTTTACATCGGCCTAATAAAATTTAGTTTTTTCAAAATGTTTGAAATTTTCACATAATTCTGTTTTGTCATCTGGATTCAAAAAGTCAATGACAACATATGATTATTTTTTACCCTGTTGCCGTGACGACCACAAACACTCCCCTGTCTGTGTCTATGAGAAAATTTTTAAATCTCTGAAAAGTAGACCTCGCTCAAACATCAAACCAGAGGCGGCCGTTTCACTAATTTGTCTGAAAATCGCTCCACATGGTTTCAACACATGGACCATCAATAGTTGAATATAGAATTTGACTTAGTCAAACGGTCTGCGCGTGACAGACTCCCAAAGTGGGGTTATTTTCATAGAGAGGTGTGAAGTTCCCATGTTATCCAATGGAGACTGTATGGACACACTCACAGATGTATGCGTAAACAGGAGCACATTCACAAACTTGACTCTGTTGTTTAACTCCTGGGCCTAGGTCACATGACAGTGTGAACAATGACATTGGCCCATTATCGCCCCCTACAGGCTGAGTAAAGGTTTACATGGGGATACAGGTATTTAGGTTTTCTGTTGTCTGATCTCATATTTGACCCACCGAACAAACACGAAAACTCACCAAACTTTGCCACAAGTTTTTTTCAGGCATAAAGTGTATTATTTTGGTGTTCTTTGGTATAACACTAAGAAAATTAAATTGTAGGGGGCGCTGTTGTACAACATTGAATGCCACCATTTGCACATACAAAGTCCGATTTGCACAAAATTTGAATTGATTGTTCAACTCTCGGGTTTGGGTAAACTGAAAGTGTAAAAGACAAAATTTCTGCTTTAGCGCCCCCTACAGACTGAGTCAAGTATTACATGGGGAGAATGAGGTTTACCTTTTCAAAGACACACACAATCACTGATCATAGGCATTCAAAATCCACAGTGTCGCTCCCATCAGGGCGGTAGGAAAATGGCGCGTTAGCGCCACCTCCTTTGCGCGGTGCGGCGAGGGCCGTTAGATGCCGCTTGCGGCTTTAATTCTTATTATTATTGTCACGTTAAAATAAAGAAAAGGTGTGATTTTCGAGCTGCTCTGTGTAGAATCGTTGGACAGAGAGAGTGAAAGACAGAGAAACCCCGAGGTCTGGAGTCAGTGTGGACCAAAGGGAGACGGATGGACAGCAGTTAAGGAGCCACTAGTATCAATCAGGAACGACAGCCGGCGCAAAAGTCGATAAAGAAAGAAGCGTCACATGGTATCGGCCAGATTCCCCTCAGACCATGAAGAGACAGAGCTGTTTGTACAAGACTGAGGCTGGTCAACTTGACTTATGTGACTCTACTCTACTCTACTCTACTCTACTCTACAGTATATATTAAGGATGTAGTGCGACCACTTTTCTCATCTATGGGGCTTTTTCAAAATGGCCGCTGGGGCTGGAAAATGTGTAAGCTGCATTAGCCCCATTCATTTAACAAATTCAAAAGTCCACAGCGACTAAACTAGGCTGGTCCAAAAATAAATACTGCCCTTGGTATCGACAGCATCTGGACCAAGAGCCACTTTTGGACCAAGAGAAACTTTTGGACCAAGAGCCACTTTTGAACCAAAGCCACTTTTGGTCCAAGAGCTACTTTGGGACCAAGAACCATTTTGGGACCAAGAGCCACTTTCGGACCAAGAGCCTCTTTTGGACCAAGAACCACTTTTGGACCAAGAGCCACTTTTGGACCAAGAACCACTTTTGGACCAAGAGCCACTTTTGGACCAAGAACCACTTTTGGACCAAGAACCACTTTTGGACCAAGAGCCACCTTTGGACCAAAGCCACTTTTGGACCAAGAACCACTTTTGGACCATCCTGTAAAGACGTTATCCAGTTGAAAAAAGACGACATACAAAAGCATTGGGTAATTCTCTTTCTGGGTACACCCCCACAGGCTAGGAGTGGTATTGCAGCATGTCAGCGCACGTGCTCATTGACCTTTTGGAGCCGGGACCCGCCCACACTGTTAGTAGCACATTAGCTTAGCCAGTCAACCAATGCTAGCCAGCTGAACACGTTTCCTGTAAGTGCGCTTCCAAAGGCTACACAGTAAATAATATTTGCCGCTATTTTGACAGTTATAACTTATATACGACCCAATAAACTATAAAAAGTTACGTAATGAGGAAAACGCAATCTTGCTGCTTGTGTGATTCTCCATTTTATGCAGGCGAGTGTTGGCATTCATGTATTTATCGGTTACAACAGCACCATCTACTGGTGCAGTGGTAGAACAACCAAATCACGCTTGTGAATCTCCAGAGACACTGACGCAGGTATGAAGGTTATTTTGTGTTTTTATTTTCAACACTTTTTTTGCTTTTGAATTCTATAAACTGTAACAAAAAAGTATTCAGTGTAAATAAATTCAATGTTTTAAAATTCAGTGTCCAAAAATTCGTCGAATTTTTTTTTTGCTGCTTGAAATGTCATGCTTTATTTCCGGGTAAATCAAGACAGAAGCAATCGATCAGCCAATCCTCCATAGATGTAGCCGGGGCTAGAACACGACTTTGGCTTTATCCGAATGTCCACACTATATCCTACTCACTCACTCACTACATAGTGCAGGACTATATAGTGACTGAGTGAGTGGACTCATTCTGATGGCGATTTGGACGTTGCACACTATTATCAGGACGTGCTGTTGTACGTGAGCGTCCCGCTGTAGCATGGATCACGGAGCGGAGAGAGGAGCGGCCATGATGAGGTAAAGGTAAAAGTTGAATTTACGTTTTAATTAGCACATAACGTTTTATTGTATTAACATTGGAGGTGGGAAATAGCCCCTTCTATTGTTATATCAGAGGTCTGTTTGGTGATTAAACAGATTTTCTTTGGACTTTTTCTCCGGCCTTGAGCTCCAGTGCTAACACGCTAACCACGGGTGTAGAGCTGCGCTGATGCCCAGAATGGAGCGTCATGCGCTGGGAGTCATTTTGAGAGCTCCCTTATCCTAACAGTTTTTATTGTGGAAGTAATTATGAAAACCCAAAAAGGCAGCTTTTGTATCATACTTTCTCTGTTATAACAATTGTTTTAAGAGTAATCATTAGTCTTAAAAATGTGATGTTTCATGTAAATAATGCATCTGTTTAGTGCGATTGATGGATTTGCTATGGCCCTCGTTTGTGCATCACTTTGTTGTAAAGTAAATTTTATTAAGTAAAAATGTGATAATGTGCATTTACTGATGACAGGGGGACATCTGTGAACATGAAGCTGGACCAAGCCCCGGCAATCCAAGATGGCGCCGTATTCAAATGAATGGTTGTGCTCAGTGGCGCTTTGTGCAGGCACGGTCGCTGACATATTAGCGGAACTCGCCTGTATTTGGGCTTTGTCTGGTCCTCCTGGTTCTGCGCTGTGGATGATCTCCCATAATGCGTTGCGCCAAACACGCGTGTGTGGCTCTCACACCGGGTCTCACGCATGTGCACAGAGGGGCTCGGCCGCGCTCTGACCAATCAGAGCGGGAGTTAGAGTGAGAGCCAGACGGGAAGAGTTTGTGGCACTAAAGTGTGGATTTAAACAAAACCAAAGGATTTAATAAGAAAAATAGTTCAGGATGACAAGGGACATTAAAAACCCCACAAAATCCGACCTTTATTAAAGCTGTAGGTTCTATGTCAGGTTCTCAGTAGGTTCTCTGTCAGCTGAGGTCGCGCTGTTTTAATTTACATTGAGTCCTATGGGGAAAATTTCTGGGTAGCCCACGTGAATTTAGTCTGGTCTAGTCTGCAGTACCGCGAGAATCCCCCGAGCACACGAGTTCTTCAGCTCCAAGCTAGTAATACCCTATCCAGTTATTATAATAGATCCATGAGCTGGACACAGAAGACGCGTGGACTTGAACTTACAGACCAGATTTAAGGTCATGAGTACTTACTTTTTGAGCACAAGCTCCTTGCCTCTTGAAATCCAACAGACCTGATCATGTCAGAGTTAATGGCTTAAATGTATTTAAGATTAGAAGTATTTAAATGAAAGCTATGAAACATGTTTCTCACGGATTGTGTGGTTGGATAAAACAAACGCATACATCACTTTTCATTGCACACAAAGAACTAAATCATAATTATTTTATTTTATTCCAGGTTGTGATGAGTCCACCGTAGAAAAGACAGTCAGAGGCAGACGTCCAGGCACCTGCTGTTGTTACTGTTGCTGCTGCATATGTCTTCAGAAAATGAGAGATGTGTTCTAACTATCCTTGACTTGTAATTAATAAAACAAATGAACATATTGGTCGTTGTAGTTTATATCGTGATCCACAGGAGCTGGAGGTGATGGAAATGGATGAAGAAATGATGGCCTCTGGAAGACAGCTGCCTCTGGAAAAGAAATTCACACAAAAAAATCATTAATTTAAACAGACCCGATTCTTATGAGATTAAAATGAGCCTTTTGTTACAATCAGACATGTCGACATATATGTTCATATACATGTACTGTCCCAGTCAAATTAATTAATATAAATACACAGTAGTAGAGTAGAAACAGACGCTCTGAGGAGGAGCAAAAGTACAATGCCTTTACAAACACACACATGAACTTAACATGTCATATCAATAGTAAATGTAAATACATTGCCAGTCTTTAACAGGAGGCTGGTAGAGTGGGATTTACAAAATACAGTGCGAAAGTATTCGGCCCCCTTGAACCTTTCAACATTTCGCCACATTTCAGGCTTCAAACATAAAGATATAAAAAATGTATTTTTTGTCATGAATCAACAACAAGTGGGATACAATCGTGAAGTGGAACAAAATTTATTGGATAATTTAAACTTTTTTAACAAATAAAAAACTGAAAAGTGGGGCGTGCAATATTATCCATCCATCCATTTTCTTCCGCTTTATCCGTTGCCAGGTCGCGGGGGCAGCAGTCTAAGCAGAGACGCCCAGACTTCCCTATCCACACACACTTCCTCCAGCTTGTCCGGGGGGACCCCAAGGCGTTCCCAGGCCAGCTGAGAGACATAGTCCCTCCAGCGTGTCCTAGGTCTTCCCCGGGGCCTCCTCCCGGTGGGACGTGCCCGGAACACCTCCCCAGGGAGGCGACCAGGAGGCATCCGGAACAGATGCCCGAGCCACCTCAACTGGTTTCTCTCGACGTGGAGAAGCAGCGGCTCTACTCTCGTGTGACAATATTATTCGGCCCCTTTACTTTCAGTGCAGCAAACTCACTCCAGAAGTTCAGTGAGGATCTTTGAATGATCCAATGTTGTCCTAAATGACTGATGATGATAAATAGAATGCACCTGTGTGTAATCAAGTCTCCGTATAAATGCACCTGCTCTTTGATAGTCTCAGGGTTCTGTTTAAAGCGCAGAGAGAACCATGAAGACAAAGGAACACACCAGGCAGGTCCGAGATACTGTTGTGGAGAAGTTTAAAGCCGGATTTGGATACAAAAAGATTTCCCAAGCTTTAAACATCTCAAGGAGCACTGTGCAAGCAATTATATTGAAATGGAAGGAGTATCAGACCACTGCAAATCTACCAAGACCCGGCCGTCCCTCCAAACTTTCATCTCAAACAAGGAGAAGACTGATCAGAGATGCAGCCAAGAGGCCCATGATCACTCTGGATGAACTGCAGATAACTACAGCTGAGGTGGGAGAGTCTGTCCATAGGACAACAATCAGTCGTGCACTGCACAAATCTGGCCTTTATGGAAGAGTAGCAAGAAGAAAGCCATTTCTCAAAGATATCCATAAAAAGTCTCGTTTAAAGTTTGCCACAAGCTACCTGGGAGACACACCAAACATGTGAAAGAAGGTGCTCTGGTCAGATGAAACCAAAATCGAACTTTTTGGCCACAATGCAAAACGATATGTTTGGCGTGAAAGCAACACAGCTCATCACCCTGAACACACCATCCCCACTGTCAAACATGGTGGTGGCAGCATCATGCTTTGGGCCTGCTTTTCTTCAGCAGGGACAGGGAAGATGGCTAAAATTGATGGGAAGATGGATGGAGCCAAATACAGGACCATTCTGGACGAAAACCTGTTGGAGTCTGTTAAAGACCTGAGACTGGGACGGAGATTTATCTTCCAACAGGACAATGATCCAATCCTTCCATAAAGCCAAATCTACAATGGAATGGTTCACAAATAGACGTATCCAGGTGTTAGAATGGCCAAGTCAAAGTCCAGACCTGAATCCAATCGAGAATCTGTGGAAATAGCTGAAGACTGCTGTTCACAAACGCTCTCCATCCAACCTCACTGAGCTCGAGCTGTTTTGCAAGGAAGAATGGGCAAGAATTCCAGTCTTTCGATGTGCAAAACTGATACCACTTTTCAGTTTTTTATTTGTTAAAAAAGTTTAAATTATCCAATAAATTTCGTTCCACTTCACAATTGTGTCCCACTTGTTGTTGATTCTTGACAAAAAATTAAATTTCTATATCTTTATGTTTGAAGCCTGAAATGTGGCGAAATGTTATATATTCAATTAAAACCATATCTATCAGTTTGATTCCTCTTTGTACCATTAATATTGAATCCATGGGTTTGTTTTCTCCCTAAAGAACCGATCCTCCATTCTGTCTTGGTTTCACTAAGATGTCAAAATTTAAGGGTAAAGATAGAATAATTATCGACTTATTTTTTTATGTATTTTTATACATAAAAATGAACATCATAATGAACAACAACCCCTCAGCATGCTCTGTCTCTAAAACAGTCCGCAGGTTTCGTCCTTGCTGCACTGCTAGAATAATGTACACATGAGAACTATGGGAACATGGTACATATGTCACACAAGAACCGCAAACCCCCCCAAATGTACTTGGCTTTCCTGTGTTTCATTTTAGCTTAGCATTAGCGAAGATCAGCTTTGGGGAATCACCAAAATGTAGAAGCCACCTACGCGGAGCGAGCTAATGATAAGCTAAGGTACAAACATGTTCAGAAAGTACATACAGTAGTGGTTTGCGTGTTACATACCAACTAATGATGAGAAAACACACTTACTGGTTTGCTGTGGACGCCATGTTCAGATGAACAAGACATGTTCTGGCCCTGGCTACATCTGTGGAGGATTGGCTGATCGATTGCTTTGTTCTTGATTTACCCGGAAATAAAGCATGACATTTCAAGCAGCGAAAACAAATGCTACGTAATTTTGGACACTGAATTTTTTTCAACATTGAATTTATTTACACGGAATACTTTTATGTTACAGTTTAAAGAATACAAAAGCAAAAAAAAGTGTTGATATTAAAAACACAAAATAACCTTCATACGCAGAAGTGTGTCAAAACATTTGTGCGTAAACCAGAGAGAGTGCGTAGAATTTTTCTGTTATTTTCTTCTTACAACGTGGTTATTTACATACAGATAGTTATGTTACAGATTAAAATGTCAAATTACATACACACAAATCAGGGTACACACAGACACACACAAGACCGTTTAAAAAGATCTGTGTAAAATGTAGAAGTTTTTAACACACACACACACTCACACATCTGGTTACGCACATACCAACAATAGCTCCAAACTGATCCATCCCTGACTCTGGTTCTCACTTTGTTCCCACTGGATTTAGAGGTGTTCTTTGCTGATGCAGGAGAGTCTGAGGACGGCGGTGATGAGGACATTATCTACATTTATGGACAGTGTCTGCTCCTTATGGACCAATGTGCTTTCTATCATTGTTTCTTGTGTTTGAAATGTTTGATTCTCTAATCTGTGTTGGAAAAATCAACAGTTTTTGTAAAGTCCTCAGAATTATCTACTGTTGTGATTCAGAGCGATACAAGATTAAATTGAAATGTGTGGTTGCAGGACGGGGTACGACGATGCGTTCATGGCCCAACTGGAGGGGAACCTGAACCCCTTCCTCCAGGCCATGTGCCGCGCTCAGACCCTGCAGTTCCCCCACAAACGCAGCAGCATGATCAGCCTGGACAGCATCCGGAGAGACCCCCGATGGCGGGACCCCAACCTGCACGAGGTCATCGCCATGCTCAACCACCCCCTGGACCCGGTCAAGTCCAACGCCGCGGCCTACCTCCAGCACCTGTGCTACGAGAACGAGCCCATCAAGCAGGAGGTGCGGCAGCTGAACGGGGTGCCGGTGCTGGTGGAGCTCCTGGACCACCCCAAACCCGAGGTGCACCGGAAGGCGTGTGGAGCCCTGCGAAACATCTCCTTCGGCAAAGACCACCAGAACAAGATGACCATCAAGAACTGCGACGGGATCCAAGCCCTGGTCCGGCTGTTGAGGAAGGCCAGCGGCGTGGAGGTCAAAGAGCTGGTCACAGGTGAGATACTCAGACACAACATGAGACTTTAACATATAATTCAGTTCAATGTGTTTGTGTTGAACCCTTAATAAGAACAGAAAAAATGTGGATTCACCAATATCAGATCAGAGAAGAAAAAAGTTTGAACGCTTTGATCATTGGTCCATAGGGAACGGGATGACCACTGTCCTTAGACCCTCCTGCACCAGAGAAAAACCACTCAGAAAGCCAGGACTGAGGCTGTAGATCCAGGACTGAGAATGTAGACCCAGGACTGAGGCTGTAGACCCAGGACTGAGAATGTAGACCCAGGACTGAGGCTGTAGACCCAGGACTGAGGCTGTAGACCCAGGACTCAAACTGATTAATAATATTCTACGGACAGGAACTCTTTGGAACCTCTCCTCCCATGAACCTCTGAAGATGTCTGTGATAAACCACGGCCTCCAGACTCTGACAGATGAGATTATAATCCCTCACTCCGGCTGGAGGAGAGACACCAGCGACGCCTCCAAGATGCAGAGCGCGGAGTGGACCACGGTCTTCAAGAACACCTCCGGATGTCTGCGGTAAGAGCAGGGGTCTTAAACTGCAATTAGACCAGAGAGCGACCAAAGACAATGAGAGAGAGAGAGAGAGAGAAAGACAGACTAGCGAGAGACCAGAAAGGGACCAGAGAGGGACCAGAGAGAGAGAGACACACACACACACGGTCACGCATGCATGTACACACAAACACCCATACACAGTTGCACGCACGCACACACGTACACACACGCATACACAGAACCACCCCACACACACACACACACACACAAAGTCTCACACACGCTGCTGTTTAGACAGAAGCCTCTTCTGGAGCTACACGTTTGTGCCAGAAGAGTGGATAGAGCTAAAAACAACTCCAGATCAGTGACTGATGAGGAGATAGGTCTGGTTTGAACAATTATCTATTTTTAAAGTTAAATTGTTTTAATCAACTTCAGGATTAAGTCAGTTTTAAACAAACATGTCCCGGTTTTCAAAACATTTAAATAATGTTCAGTTTGTCTCTTGTTAAAACAATAAAGATTTGAATCCTACACATATATTCTTAAATACAAGGACAGGATCCCAATGACGTCACCGGTTGCTAGGTTACGGCGTTCCTGTCAAAGCAGTGATGACGTCACAAAGCTCTGAAAAGTTAGCATTAGGGCAACATCACGTCTCAGACACAAACACAGCGTTCGGAGTCCGGTTTGAACGAGCAGAAGATTGATTTAACGAGAGCAGGACTTAGACAGAAGCAAAACGGAGGAAAGTCTTAACAGTTGGAGGTTCTAAGACACAGTATGGACGACATTACACTGACCATGGAAGGTCCAGAAGTGGGAGACGTCGGCCCCAAAGACAACGACATCAGAAAGATCCTGTCACAGCTGAACCAGGAGCTGCAGGAGATGGAAGAGATGTTTGAGGACAACATCATTCACAGACAGACGGACCTCCAACCACCCACCTGGTCCAGCAGCGAGGTCCAGACTCAGGCCTGGTCCAGCAGCGAGGTCCAGACTCAGGCCTGGTCAAGCCGCGAGGTCCAGACACAGACTCAGGCCTTGTCCACCTATGAGGTCCAGACACAGACTCAGGCCTGGTCCACCTGTGAGGTCCAGACTCAGACTCAGGCCTGGTACACCTGTGAGGTCCAGACTCAGACTCAGAAAGTGGACCTGCCACATTCCGAAAACTGGTATGAGGAATATGAGATTGCGGTGAGGTGTATGCAAGTCAGAGAGGCCAAGTTTAACGCAGAGTTGGAGCTAGCAAGAGAAAAGTTAGCAAAGAAGGAGAAAGAGAATCAGGAGGTTTGTGAGAAACTGATGCAGCTGCAAACTTTGAACCTCAGTCTGGAGAAAGATCTGGAACAAGCCAACGACAACTCACGTCAACACGAGTCTGAACGTCAGGAGGCTTGTGAGAAGTTGAAAGTGCTGCAACTCTCACACGAGAAAGAGCTTCAAGAAAACTTTGAGGAGCTCAGGGTTTTAAAGCAGTCTTTAGAAGAGCGGGACTCAGTTGGAAAAAGTTCAGCGAAACAGATCAGTGAGAATGAGAATCAAAGCCAGAAGATCGAGACGCTGGAACGCCAACTTCAGGAGTTCGAAGAGTTGAGAGAGGAGTTGTCTTGGTCTGTTCGGCAGAATCAAAATCTAGAGAAAGAGCTGCAACTTTTACAGATGAATGTGGAAACGCAGTGTGAAGCCCAGGGTTCAGTTGGCACAAAAACACAGAGTTCAGCTCAGAAGAAGATGGAGATGCTTGAACGCCAGCTGAAGGAGTTCAAGGACGTGAAAGAGGAGTATATTTGGTGTGTGGAGCAGAATATGAGTCTGGAGAAAGATCTGGAACAAGCCAAAGAAACCTCACGGAAACATGAGGCCGAACATAAGGAGGCTTGTGAGAAATTGATGGAACTAAAGCTGTCACAGACGAAAGCGTTCGACGATCACCTCGAGGAGTTGAGCGTTTTCAAGGAGGGAACAGGTGGAAGCTCGCAGACGTTTGGAGCAACAAGTAAGCGAGGTCGCACCCCAGGAGAAGCCGTCGGTGTGTGAAACGCAGACGCAAACGGTGGCTAGCGCGGAGATGCTAACAGATCCAAAAGCCGTGAAGGTTGAGACCTCTACCTCAAATGTACCAACGCAGAATCTGGATCAAGCGACAAGGGCCTTATTTGAGAAACCACAGACCAGTGCAGAGGAGTCCAGACCTCAGAGTCAGAAGGATGACTGCACAGAGCTCAAGGGAAATGTGAAAAATCTAACAGAAATATTTGAAAGTAAACGTGAGCAGGACACGCAGAAGCAGGGGCCCGAGCTGCAGAGGAACCGGGTCAAGGGGAAGAGCGTTTCGGCACTGATGAAAAAGTTTGAGTTTTAAGAGAATAACACATTCTCAGCAGCACAAGTCAGACGCTGCAGCTGCTAATTCAAATCTAAAGTCTGAAAGGGGAATGGGGAATTTGGTAAACGTATGAGGCTGTCTCTCTGGTCTCGCTCCGGTCTTCTCAGGCTGCTTAAAGCTGTAGATTTCAGGACAGTTCGAAGCAACATCATCAGAGAGAGATGGAGGGGAAGGACTCTCAGCCTAGAAATATAGAATGCAAACAGCAGGTTGCTCTGGACCAGGGCATCAGGCTGTTTGCAGCTGTAGCTTCTGAGGTGGATAGTCTAGCTTCTTCTCTCTTTCTGACCTCTCTGATCTCTTTATCCACTTAACCTTAACAAACCTACGTGGATCAAGTTGGAATTGCATGCAATAAATAATAAAAAAAAAACACAAAATACTAAAACAGTTTTCTGATTGATTTCTGTTTGAGACGTGTAGACGTATAGTCACACACACACACACACGCACTAGGACTGGGCGATATAAACGGTATAAGTGGTATGCGATAGAAATTTGGCCAACGGTAGAGATCTTTGTTATACCGGCATATTGCGGTAGGTCATTATGTCATCAAATTGCTAGGTTGTACGTGACAAAAGTGCTCCGAGGGACAGGAAGTACATTTCCCCACTAAGAACAATGTAAACATTCACTGATTCCGAGTTTAAAAAATCTGTGGCGTGTACAGTTGTGGCAACTGCTCATATCAAGTGGGGAACTTATGAAGTCTCTACTTTGCTAAAAGATATTTCTCTAACGGGTGTCAATTTTTAGGAAACGGCCTGATAAGGAACAGGAGAAACGCGCTAGCATTAACATTAGCCTGCGTAGCATCTGCAGCCAGAACACAGCTGACAGTCTTTACGTCGCTGACTTTCATAGATACAATGCAGTATTTTGTGTAGTATATGGTTGTTGTAACCGAGGCAACAGAAAGAAAGAATTGTTAAATACAATTTCTAATTGTAGCCCCCCGCTGTTAGCTTAACACCAGGGAACTCCGTACTTTTTGTCCAAACTTTTTGTTATTCACAGCTCAACAAATCACCGAAATGACAATACAAGGTCATATTTCTCGCTTCAAATGTTGTCTAAAGTAACATGTGTGCCCTATTTTTTGTATTATTGATCAGAACTATCCTCTCAGACATGTTTCTGTTGAGACCAGAGTGACTCCACTGTCGTCACTATAACAGCCTTAATCCTTCTCATTGTTGAAAACATTGGACTCATTCAAACACTACAAAGCGTACGCTGCATTAAAAATAGTTTTCACTCATAATAAGAGTGATACTAAGCCGCGAAAAGCTCCTATGTCTGCGTCTTACAGCATTGCCCATTCTATTTTATTGCTGGGTTGCACGTGATGTCACGCAGCGGCGCGAAAGGGCTCCGAGGGACAGGAAGTAAATCTCCCCAATAAGAACCATGTAAAAATCACTGATTCCGAATCAAAATGTTCTTTTTCTGTGGCGTGTGCAGTTGAGGCAACTGCTCACATCAAGTGGGGAACTTATGGAGTCTCTATTTTGCTAAAATTTATTTCACTAACGGGTGTCGATTTTTTGGAAAATGCCTAATAAGGAACGGAAGAAATGCGTTAGCATTAGCATTAGCATTAGCCTGCATAGCATCTGCGGTCGCAGAAAAAGCTGACAGTCCGCATTACTTTGCTGACTTTCATTGATACAATGCAGTATTTTTGTGTGGTATATACGGTTGTAGTAACCGAGAGAAAGAACTGTTAAATACATGTTTTAATTCCAAAGGTTGTCTCAAACCAAAATTTACATGTATAACAAAGCTAAAGGCAGGCTTTACAATCAGTCTTCTCACATATAATCTAGCCATCGTGTTATGAGAGTCATTAGCTGCGTTTCCATTGAATAATGCGCAAAAACTTTTTTGATACATTTCAAAATTCGAAAAACTTGTAATTTGCAAAAGCGGCCGTTTCCATTAAGACATATTCGAATAAGTATACACTATTTTCGCGCGTTTATTCACTAGTTTCTAGTACGTCAACATGGCAACAGAAGTAAACAACACTTTGATTTACGTGAGATATATTAATGTCTTGACTTCTGCTGCGGCTCTCATCCTCTCTGACCCCGGGAGAAACTGTGGCTGCTTTGACAGCTCCGCGAACGCGCGTGGTCATGTACCGAGCGCGGACCATAGACGCGCGCACAGAACCATAGACACGGGTCTTGCCTGTCTCCCCCGTCTCTTCCCCGTCTCTCCCCCATGCCTCTCCCCCGTCTCTCCCCCATGCCTCTCCCCCGTCTCTCCCCCATGCCTCTCCCCCGTCTCTCCCCCATGCCTCTCCCACGTATCTCCCAAGTCTCCACACGAAGCGCAGCCAAAACTCACTGAATAAAGCTCAGCTCGGCTTCCTCCGCTATATCGAAACATGTGTTTCCATTGCCGTTTTGCGAAACACTTAATTTCGATACGTCCAAAAAACCACAGATTTTAAGCGCATTAACTTTTTATCGAAAAACTGTAGTTTATTCAAAATTTGCGCGTTTCGAAATTTGATGCTCAATGGAAACGCAGCTATTGTTCATCGTTATTCCCACGACTGTGAGGTCCAGGGTCTGGGACTGTGAGGTCCAGGGTCTGGGACTGTGAGGTCCAGGGTCTGGGACTGTGAGGACCAGGGTAATGTCTGAAGTTGTATCCGAGGTTTGTGGCCCCAGGACGGCTGCATTCGTAGCAGCCCCGGCTGTTAGCTTAACGCTACGGAGCTCTCCCAGTCCGAACTTTTTGTTGTTTACAGCTCAACAAATCACCAAAATGACAATAAAGGGTCATATTTCTTGTGGTGTATTCCGTTTATATAAGCTTTACGTCTTATCGTGAAGGGCTACACCGCAAGTACGGAAGTGTTGACTTAGAGACTTAATAGAGACTTTTACATGTTGAATGGTTCGGAGCGACGTAAAATAAACCAGAAGTGAAGAAGATGACAAAGTCTGGGATCGCGTCTTTCATTCAGACAGAAGACATGTTTTATTGTCGATGGTAGAGACAGCACGAACAAAACACACGAACACAGAATGCAAGTGTATTATACAGAGCGGAGGCATGGAGACATCCAATCAGCAGCTTCCACGGTGCCATGTAGAGATAGTCAAAACATGAAGTGGAAAAGTACAGGCTTCTGCACATTGATAGAATGATGAGTTTAACCTTAACAAAAATTGCTTCAAAGTGTTATGAAATCTCACAGAAGTTATTCCACAACGTGTCGCTTGAGTCCTTAAAATCTATATTACGACATGGTGTCAGAAGTGGAGCGGCAGTGAGAGCATATGCGGTGGAGAGTGAAAGTGAAGTTCTGGGAGTGAAGAGTGAGTTGCCTCCGAGACGGAAAAAGAAAGATGTCGACCAGAGCCGATGCTAGCGTGCACGGTGTGCAACAGCCTCAGCCACTGCCCCAGCAACAGGCAAATGTTAAAGGCGCTATACCCGTTTCTGCAATACCGCCCCCCAACTCGCTCAATGGCTTCTCATTTCCCCTACGCTCCCGCGTAGCCACATAGTTTTATTTGCGATCTGATACATATGCTAACATTAGCATTAGCGCAACTTCTTGTAAGCTGTGCAACAATCACTGATGAAATGGCACTAAAGCAACGCACTGCCAACACAATATATAAGTAAAAATACCGCTAGTTTCGCGTCCGAATGTATTAATTTAAACATTAGAATATATTCTAATATTTAATTATAATTTATTATACAGCTCCTCACAGCAGCAGTAGAACACTCCACTGACTTGAATGCAATTCTTCCGATCATTTTTTCTTGATAACAGAACTCTCAAACCAAAAATGACCGCAGCCCCAATGCAATCTCTGTTTGTAATTCAGGTGTGTAAAATACTGCCATTACTCTGCAAGTACAACAAGCTATCAGCGCTTGTCACTACACACTTGTCTGTGTGGAGAAGCTAGCGGAGCTAGCCACGCTCAATAAACAACTACATATCTATCAATCAACACCATTAAATGTTAATCGGACAATACAGTATACATATACATCCTTAACACACATGCACGGTCGATTTCAGAATTTGCTGTTAACGTTTTCATGACAAAAATACTGTTTTAATGTGACAAAAAGCGATTGCGAAAAACCCGGAAGTTACCATGAAACAACTAGCTAGCTTAGCTGTTACCTGCCTAGCACGTCCCGGTGAAACCTTTGGGAGCTAACTATTTTATTTGCAGTCATTAAATACATTTCGAATTATAAGGGTTGTCTAATATTTGTTCAAATATGTATATATTTTTTATTTTAGAATTTTGAAGTCGAAGCCCTAGTGTTTAGCAGCGCTGTAGAGGCTAGAGGACGCAGGCTGTTCGCTCTGTGAGTGGAGGAGAACGAGCGTCTCACTAAGACTCCACTCAGCTCTTTTCACTGCTTGTAATTCTTACACAGCTGAATCAATTACCTCAAGTTTTCAATTAAATTATGTATTATGATACAACTTGTATGTAGTAAAAAGCATTTTTATGAACTACTTAGAAAAAAACTGAACCGTTTGATTTCTCCAAACCACAACAATGGGAAAAGTGGATTTGCAGGTTTGAGAGATTCAGATTAGCGAGCAATCTGCATCTTAGCTCAGAAGCTAATAAAGCTAACACGCTCGTCTACTGCATGGGTGATGAAGCGGACGACATTTTACCAGGTCAAGCTCTAACAGACGCGCAAAGACAGCGATACCAGCCAGTCAAGAGATGCCCAGAAAGAAAATTATGCAGCAAGCTAATGAGACTGTTGACTCCTTTATAACTGCGCTCTATGCCCTGGCTGAAAACTGCAACTACGGTGTACGAATTATTAAGAGATCATCATGTAGTGGGTTTGAGAGACACCAGCTTGGCTGAGAGACAACAAATGGACAAAGATTTGTGCGGGAATGCACTGGCTCATCACTTTGTGCATCAGTTGTGTCTGAGCTGTGAGCCGCTCTGACA